TTCTCATGATACATTGTAAGTATGAAGCTGTAGTGTAGTCATGTTGACTCCTAGGAGATATTAAGGCCTAATTTGTTCTAGGACCAATTTATTTGTTTTTATAGTAGGAAAGATACAATATTCTTCCCCAGTTGCACATCCCAGATGAGTTGCTTTTCTTCTTATCAGCTTTTTCCACTGTCTAGTTTTTATAGTGGCATTAATCCCTGAGTGTCAACATCACCCATTCTATGATGGCACCAGAGGTCTTTTGCTCAGAGTGAAGATTAACCACTCTGGGATTCATACTGAACTTTATAGCAGTCATCTAGGGTGGGAAATCTGTCTGGTATGGTGTACCTTACCTGAATAACTTCCTTAGAACTGGACATAATGAAATGAGGTCACCCAGACATGATGTACAGTAGTGGTTTCTGTATATTTATGCAGGCTGCAGAGCCTATTCTGTGCCCACTGACACCAGATTGATCAGCCGCCACTACTTCCTCCTCAAATGTGGCTCCAGTCCCCAAACTAAAACTGCTAGCCTCCTCCCCTGTCTTTTCATTGGCATTACTTTTATTGTTTTGAATGTTCAGTTCCCATAGAAGAACTGTATGCATGTAGATTTCTCATCAAAGGCTTTCTTTTTACACACTCACACACCTCTTTCTTATTAACAAAGTAATATTTTCCTGTATACCTGGGAAGTTGGATGAGCATAGAGAAACCACTAACATTGTGTAGGAGCAGCCTGGTTTCATATGCTACCTAGTTTGGCACTAGGTCGCCAAGCGTGCTGTACATGCCAAAAAGAAACTCCTTCCAGCAAACAACTTCTCCGGTTCTCCGTTGACAGACATCCTGTGTGACTTTATGAAAACCACTCTGCATTTCTCTACTTCATTTCCCTTGATGTGTTAAAAAAAATCATGTTTCAGTCTTTGGTTAGGCTCGGCATTATGTACAGTGCTGTTAGCAATTGCATGCCATTACATTTCAGAAATAGAGCTACATTAAACATTTTATATTTTGGCATCTGTAGTTATTAGGCCTGTGCGGTTTCATTCGTTAATTTCGTAATTCGTTATTAATTCATTAATTTTTGCATTTCCGAAGCGATATCAAAACACATTTTCAAACCCAGAAGGGTTTAAAAATATCGAACCGGCAACCCCCATAGATTTAACGAGCTTCCGCCCGTTTCGTAATGGGATGGAGGCTGCTGGTGCCCTGGGAGCCAATCCGGCGCTCCCAAGCACCCAAGCAGTGCACCGTGGCTGTTTCTGATTGGCCGGCGAGCCCTTTAAAAGCGGCTCCGCGCAGCCGTACAGCTCATTGCTGCAGAGGGCGAGGGAGAGAGAAGAGGTCCGGGAGGGTTTGCATTGGGTTGGCTTGGCTTGGCTAGCAACTGGATTGGATTCATTCCTTGCTCATTCCTTGGATTCATTCCTTGCTGCTGTGCTTAGTGCTGCTTATATTCCTTGCTTGGATTCATTACTTCGGTTTTTGTGAATTTGTTTCTTAATTTTCCATTTTTAAATATTTTTAATATTATTTTTTAATATTATTTAAATATTATTCTTAAAAAATACAAAAAATATTCTAAAAAAGAAAAGACTCTTCTGTTGCTGTGTGCTCTCATTTGCTGTCTCCTGCCTGTGTTAGCTCTACATCAGGGCCAGTTTTTGGTTAATTTCCATTTCTGAATATTTTCTAAAAATACCTGCCTTTTATTCTTTAAAAAAATACAAAAAATATTCCAAAAAAAGAAAATACTCTTCTGTTGCTGTGTGCTCTCACTTGCTCTGTCTCGTGGCTGTGTTAGCTGTTCATCAGGGCCATTTTTTGGTTCAGTTTCCATTTCTGAATATTTTCTAAAAATACCTGCCTTTTATTCTTAAAAAAATACAAAAAATATTCTAAAAAAGAAAAGACTCTTCGGTTGGTGTGTGCTCTCGTTTGCCCTGTCTCGTGGCTGTGTTTGGTCCACATCAGGGCCAGTTTTTGGTTAATTTTCCATTTTTGAATATTTTTTAAAAATACCTTTCTTTTATTCTTAAAAAAAACAAAAAATATTCTAAAAAAAAAGACTCTTCTGTTGGTGTTTGCTCTCACTTGCCCTGTCTCGTGGCTGTGTTAGCTCTACATCAGGGCCAGTTTTTGGTTATTTTCCAATTTTGAATATTTTCTAAAAATACCTGCCTTTTATTCTTTAAAAAATACAAAAAATATTCTAAAAAAGAAAAGACTCTTCTGTTGGTGTGTGCTCTTGATTGCCCTGTCTCCTGCTGTGTTTGGTCCACATCAGGGCCAGTTTTTGGTTAAGTTTCCATTTTTCAATATTTTCTAAAAATACCTGTCTTTTATTCTTAAAAAAATACAAAAAATATTCTAAAAAAAAAAGACTCTTCTGTTGCTGTGTGCTCTCATTTGCCCTGTCTCGTGGCTGTGTTTGCTTCATATCAGGGCCAGTTTTTGGTTAATTTTCCATTTCTGAATATTTTCTAAAAATACCTGCCTTTTATTCTTAAAAAATACAAAATATATTCTAAAAAAATAAAAGAGTCTTCGGTGGCTGTGTGTGCGTTTGTCATTTGTGTAGTTCCAACCAGTGCGCTCCTTTTGCCAACACAAAGTGCTACATACACTGCTCGCTCATCATTTGTGTAGTTCCAACCAGTGCGCTCCTTTTGCCAACCCAAAATATTTAATAACGAAGTTATTAATAACGAAGTTTTAATAACGAAGTTCTAATAACGAAGTTTCGGAAGTCGCGTTTGCGCATGCGCAGACGCGCCCGTCGCTTTAACGAATCGATTCGTTATTATCTTAACGAATCGACCCCGCGCCAATAACGAAGCTTCGGAAGTGTTTTTGCGCATGCGCGGGGGTCCGCCATCTTAACGAATCAATTCGTTAATATTTACGAAATTTCGGAACTACCGAAACTTTTTTGGGGGAAAATTTTGTAATTATTTTAAATATCGAAACAAAAAAACACCCCAATTACAAATCGATTTTAGAACCAAATTTTTTCTTGATCAACCAGGCCTAGTAGTTATATCAGTAGTTCTTAACCTGTGGGTCGTGGACCACCAGTGGGCTGCAAGGATGAAAATGTGATCTGCGAGCCTGCTTCCTCTTTATTTGTTGATTTTATTTCCGCTCTTTTCGCGCCACCTGCCTCTCCTTTCCTGTCACTGACCATGGCATATGTTCTGTATCAGAAACTAGAGCTGATGTGGTCTATCCAATGCAATTTTCTGAATCAGCACTCCCAACCAAATCTAAAGTTGACCAAAAACTGATTTGTAACGTTTTTAGTACTAATGTTGGAGAGTGGCCCCTGGTCAAAGCAGTGGTGCTAAACATAGACAGCAGAAATTTGCCACCTGGCCATAGCCTCAGATTCCCATTTTTGTTCCACTCTTGAAGGGGAGTTTGTTTATCAAGAGCGCTGCATAAATGCCAAACCATTAACTCAGAAAATTCACACAAGATGCCACAGTGAACTAGGGCAAGGTTATCCAGAGGAAGACTGAGCAGTACTTTGAATGTAGGCTTCAACTTCAGGTTGACACCCAACTGTCAACCATACTTCTCTCTGTATTATCAAAGGCTTTCATGACCAAAATCACTGGGCTGCTGTGAGTTTCCTGGGTTGTATGGCCATGTTCCAGAAGCATTCTCTCCTGCATAGATGTAGGCAAAATGTCAGGTGAGAATGCTTCTGGAACATGGCCATACAGCCCAGAAAACTAACAGCAACCCATACTTCTCTCTATATTTATTAATCTCCTTCAAATGTAGAGATACATTTGGGAAAGTTGAAAAAGAAATCATCAATTCAATAATGTGTTGTTCCCCAAGGTTTTTGTACAGTTGGATCTGGCAATCATAGCAAAATTGAAACTCTAGCAATACTGTAAGAATATTTAGTAAATCATGGAACTCTCCCCCTCTTAAAATACTTCCTTTATAGAATAATTCAGCTAATGATGTTTTTTTCCTATTTCAGCCTATATGTTAAGACTGCATATGTAGAGAGCTGTTAAAATAAGAATGCTCTGTTTGATTTAGACTGGCATTTCTTTACCTGGGGATATGGACCCCTGGGGAGGGTCGCGAGGGGGTTTCAGAGTGGCCACCAAAGACCATCAGAAAAACATATATTTCTGATGGTCTTAGGAACCCCTTTGGCAGAGAAGGCTAAAGATTTTTCCACCTGTCTTTCTTTTTGGAAACAGATGGTGAATCCTCCCACCAAAAGCCCTCTTCCTGCTGTGATTGGCTGGCATCTCAGCTGGACTCTCAGCCAAGGGAAGGTCTGATTCTGAGACTCCGAGCGGGGAGGGGAGAGCAGGTGTGTTTGGTGCATGGCAGCATGGTGTACATGTGCAGGCAAGGGAGAGAGTGCGAGGCTGGAGGGAGGCTCATGCCTTGAAGGTTCTGTCTGGTTCAGAATGCTCTTTGATTGTAGGAGAACTATAAATCCCAGCAACAACAACTCCCAAATGACAAAATCAACCCCCCCCCCCCATCCCCACCAGTATTCAAATTTGGGCGTATTGGGTATTTGTGCCAAATTTGCTCCAGTGAATGAAAATACGTCCTGTATATCAGATATTTACATTACAGTAGCAAAATTAGAGTTATGGAAGTAGCAATGAAAATAATTTTATGCTTGAGGGTCACCACAACATGAAGAACTGTATTAAGGGGTCGTGGCATTAGGAAGGTTGAGAACCACTGATTTAGACAGAGCAATGAAGCAGTCTTTATAATTGTCTCTTCACAGAATGTTCTAAACTGGTATAAATGCTGGGGCTTACAGGGGAAATGGAGAGGAAGAAGGCTTGCAATACCAAAGGAAATATTCAGAAGCAATGGGATCTTTGGAAGGAGTCCAGGCAGAACTTCAGAATTGATCAGTTCCACTTATTGTGTATCTCTTTGTGAGATCATGGGCAAGTCCACCCCAGTTAGACAAAAACACAACCATACAAAAATTTTGATGGATAAATAAGACAACATCTTTATTGGTTACAGCAGTAAAAGAGGTTACCCCAAACACATCGGTTCTGGATCCAAGCATCAACCAACCAACCTGCTAATAAATTATCCTGAACCTTCGGCCATCAGCTGAAATTTGACATGACAGGAAAGGAACTATGAAGATGGATGGCCTAAACAGTCCTCCTCCTCCACCACCAGGGCTTGCTAGAAAACCTTTTGCCTCTCATGCTGGATCAGACACATAAGAGAACCCCCAACTTTACTAGTGCCCAAAAGGAGAACTGGTGCTCAAGGTCCCAGATTCAGGATCCATGCCAACTGCTCCCCCCAAAGGTGTGACAATGACTGAAACACATACAAGCAGCTGTAGAATAACAACATGAGAACCCTTTAATTACAATAAAGGGTGGATGGGATGATGCTCCAAAGGTTACTACCATGAGCATGCGCAGGCAGCAGTCGAAACATTTTTCTGCCCAACCAGAGTGAAGCCAATCACGCACATCACTTTTTTCGAGCCCACCAGGCAATGAGTTCAAAGCAGATTCAAACTCATTGCCTGGAGACTTGTGCCTTCTCCGGAACCACAACAGAGAGCACAGACTCCTGAGATGGAGACAAAATAACGCTATGCTTAGGTAGCTCCAGACCATTGCCTTAGAAGCAGCATCCCTCTTTTGCTCAAACCCACAAACTCTCTGCATGGTAAGTTGAGCATTTCCTTTTGTACAGAAGACAGCAAACTCTGGCCTTGTAACCAATGACTGTGACAGGAGGAAGGGTAATGTTAGAGACAATGGGTCATTGGTGATGCAACACAGATGCGCAAACCAAAACGTTTCCATGTTCAGTAAGAAGGAAAGTATCTTTAAAGAAATAGCATGCCGTCTTCACTGTTACTAAGTAAGGGTTTTCCCCCTTTTAACACATCTTCACAAAGCTTGGCCTAATTGATGGCTCATGTTGAACTTGAAAATCCCGGTGAGAAGTCACTTGCTTTGTCATAGATCACATTTTCTACTTGCACAAAGGTGGCATATGGCTGTGTATCACTCTCCTACAAAACAAAGGCACAGCTCTTGAGAAGACTATAGCAAAACATTGTAAAGTATTTTAAAAAAGTGAAAGAAGCAACTGAAAACCCATTTGTTTCTTCCATTGTATGATACACTTTGGTGAAAAATCTTTAGACTTGCCTTGCTGTAAATAAAGTTAACCTTGATGTTATAGCACCGTTGCATTGCACAATACACAGAGCTTTACAAATTAAAATATTCAATATGAAAACTTTCAACCCCACATGATTCAATTTTTTTTATTAACACATTTTTCTAGATTATTTTTTATCTATTCAAGCAGATAGCTACCAGATATACTTGAATATAAGCCAAGTTTTTCAGCCATTTTTAAGCCTGAAAAAGCCCCCCTCGGCTTATACTCGGGTCAAGGTTATTTATTATTTTATTCTGTTATTATTATTATTATTATTATTATTATTATTATTATTATTATCACATGTATTGTTTTACTCTATTTATTATTAATACATTTATTATTTTTCTCTATTATAATTACATTTATTATTTTACTCTATTTTTATTATTACATTTATTTTTTTACTATTTACTATATTATTTAACTCTATTTTTATTACATTTTTTATTTTACACTATTATTACATCTATTATTTTACTCCATTATTACTGTTATTATTACATTTCCATTATTTACCCTATTATTATTTTTATTACATTTTTATTTTACTCTCTATTACTATTGGAAGGACACGTAAGCACATTTACGCTGTGGAAGGTTAGAATAATGGTTTAATCGCAGTTGGACAGTCTTCTCTTAAATTACAGTTTTATGTAAATATTAAAAAACATTTAACATACTGATGCCTCAATTAATGTTATTTTTATTGGTATTGGTTTTTATTTTGAAATTTACCAGTAGCTGCTGCGGCTTATACTCAAGTCAATACGTTTTCCAAGTTTTTTTTTTTGTTTTGGGTTTTGGGGGGTGGGGTGGTAAAATGAGGTGCCTCAGCTTAAATTTGGGTCAGCTTATACTCAAGTATATATGGTAACTTCGGTTTTTTTTAGAAGTAAGGATGTAAATTTAAAGCTGGCTAAAAGTCTTTGTTTGATGTTCTCGAATTAAATCATAATGGAAAGAGTGCCTATTTGGGACTTACGTATCACTCCAAACTTTATCTGAAAAGCTAGTATACAAAGTAAGATTAGAAAGAGGAGAAATAAAGGAGAATTTGCTCAAGGTTATACGAAAGCCATTTCTTAAGCTATATCGGTCAGAGCAGTAGCAAATTTAAAGGCAACTCCTCTACGTAGGATTGCCTTTGAAGACAGTTCGGAAGCTTCAACTAGTCCAGCGGGTGGCAGCCAGATTGCTCACTGGAGTCGGGTATAGGAAGCGTACAACCCCCCTGTTACGCCAGCTCCACTGGCTGCCAGTCTGCTACCAAACACAATTCAAAGTGCTGACTTTAGCCGATAAAGCTCTAAATGGTTCTAGCTCAGCTTACCTGTCCAAATGTATCTCCCTATATGAACCATCTAGGAGGTTAAGATCATCTTGGGAGGCCCTGCTCTTGGTCCTGCTTCTTTCGCAAGTGGTGGGGACGAGACGCATGGCCTTCTCAGTGGTTGCCCCTTGCCTGTGGAACTCCCTCCCTATCAAAATTAGACCAGCACCCTCCCTTTACGTCTTCAGAAAGAAAGTAAAGACATGGACCAAGCCTTTGGGCAGTAAGCAATGTATGAAACGTACAGGATTATGTGCAATTGACACTTGGAAAGGCCTCGGACTTTGGCTTCTTGATTATGTGATTTTAATGTTTTATATTAATATGTTCTTAATTCCATGTTTAAATGTCTAGATGATGCTGTTTCTCTATTTAATATTGTTTAATTTAATTTATAGTTATATGTTACATTTGCTATCATACTAGGTTTTTTATATGTTGTAAGGCATTTCATTTTTGCCGTGAATTTGTTGGAAACTGCTTCGAGTCCCCCTGGGGGAGAAAAGCGGTATATAAATGAAGTAAATAAATAAATTGAAACCACTCTTAGAGCAGGTAAGAATTTAGATAAATGGTTAGGCAAAGATACAACTATTACTAATAAAATAAGACAATGAAGTAGAGGATAATTTAGTGGTAAGAGAAATGACAGGGAAGGAGTTCCCAAATGTCTATGGCATGGGCAGGGGAGGGAGGATGGATGAGATAAAAGCAAGGTCTTAAATTATAACTTATTGCTATACTGCAATATTGTATAAATTGTATTGTAAATAATTAATTAAAATAATATAATTAATTAATTACTTTGTTGGAAGACGTAAGAAATCGGTTAGTGTGTGTGTATCAACTGTAAAATAAGATGCATGAAGCTGATTGGCCAGGCTATGCCCATGGAGATGGCTGAGACTGGGGCTTTTGGATACTGTTACATTTTTCAGGCTTGATCTATGCAGATGCTCACAGAGAGAAGCAGAGAAAAGCACTCAGAGACAGAGTTTGAAGTGTGCCCTTGCTTCATTAGCTGCTGAAGGAGATTGTCCATATGGAAAAAGAAAGACCATTTTAAATCTCTCATAAAAGAACATTATGTGAGTTGATGCAACTGATCACATAATTATAAATAGGTTGTTCTGAAATCCAAAGAGTAAACTACTTGTTCTTTACTGTTCATCTTTGAGGCATATTTTCTTTCTCTGCCAAGACAGTGTGTGGACTGGTCAAATGTGAACTACACATGATTTTCATTTCGTCACTTATTTGGGGGATAAGATTCAGTATTTTAGGCAGCTTTTTCCAAAGATTTAAAGCTCAGAGTGATCCTCCACTGCCCTCCTGTCCTCTTTCCTACCTCCTAATACAATTTATTGACCAGAAAAAAGATTAATACATTATAAAATAGCAAAAATTATATTACAACACCTGGGCTCTGTAGGGGACGAGGAAAAGCTAGAGGAAGTACATTCCTCTTATGGCAACCTCAAAATTGCTGAGCATCAGTGGAAGACAACCCCCCGCAAATGTTCAAGTCATTTCCCAGAAACATTTAGTTTTCACTAATTGTGAAACCTAAGCCTTTGGTGCACGTGGTTTTCTTAAGGATGTTGTGGTACCCAAACAGCTTGGTGCACATGGTTTTTTAAAGGTTGTGGTGGTTAAAACAGCTTTATAAAAAAAAGCAAATTCCAAATAGATGCTGTTTAATAAAGCAAAAATCCATTCTGTGCACTTTTACAAAAAATGAAAGCACACCTTTCTATTTCTAGGAAAAAGCAGAAATGAAAATAAAGACATGCAATGAATGGGGGGAAATGCTGTCAAGGTACACCTCATATAAAACTTACTGCGTTATCAGTACGAAAGTACCAAGAATTTCCCCTTTTCCTCTCCTGTGTAAACAACTGCAATCTCACTCATTTACCACGGAAATGACAATTTCCAGTGATGATGCTGGAGTGTTCTGAATAGTGATTGAAAAATTCAAGGAACAATTGCCTCCACAAAGAGGAAAGATTGCAACTCACAACATCCACCAGCCACCACAGAGATTCTGAGGCTGGACCTAGACAGATGTGGAATATGTGCAATGACTATTGCAATGGCCCTGGACTACGAACATATTGAATGTAATATTTGTAAATGTTTAATATGTACTAATTTTTAATTTAATTTTAATGTTTATTGAAATAGTATGTTGCTCTAAGGCATTGAATAATTGCCTATATGTTAGCCACCTTGAGTCCCCTTCAGGGTTGAGAAAGGCCGGTGTATATATAAGGTAAATAAATAAAATAAATAAATACACTGCCCTATATTCCAGGATCTGATCCCAGATTATCTGCTTATCCCAGATTATCTGGCAGTGTAGATTTACATAATCCAGTTCAAAGCAAATTCCCCATATTTACTCAAGTCTAATGTGCCATCAAATCTAATTAGCACCTCAATTTTTAAAACCCTGAAATCAAAAAAAGAATTTGCTGGTGAACGTAATGTGCAGCAGCAAAAGGTGCAATCTTTATAATATGCCAATTACAGTTGCTGTCTGTGTAGTATTCCTTCTTTAAAAAGAATTGTGTTAGAACACCAAAGCTTTCCATAATGGAAAAGAAACCTTAGGGTGCATCTATGCCACAGAATGAATCCAGTTTAACTGCCTTGGTTCAACACTGTAGGGTCATGGGGTCTGTAGTTTTACAAGACCTTGAGCCTGTTTCTTCAAAGAGTGCAGATTCTTCATCAAACCACAGATCCCAGGATCACATAGCATTGAGCTATGACAATTAAATTACAGATGTCATCCTTCAAATAGAACTCCAGGTGCTCCGGAATTAGCTTCGCCTATGCTTTGGTTCAGCACTAAGATTGTCCTATTACACGAATCTAATGTGCACCCTGATTTTGGCGAAGTAATTTAGCCAAAAATTGTAAATACCAGATTTGAATAAATACAGTAATCTGGGATCAGATCCTGGGATAGAGAAGTCCAGTATATGATGAATGTGCCAGACTGCTCTAGAGAGTTTATATACCTTCCTTTCTTTTGTGAAAGCATCTTTTGTGTTGTTAGGGCTGCAGAATTGCAAACCACAAAGCTAGATGCAGCTCACTAACCACATGCTTGCTTTTTATTGAGCCTTGGAGTTTTTAATGCTGACTTTCATGTTTTAACAGAGCTGACTTTTAACTAGTCGTATTCCTGGTACTTGATGTACTATCTGGAAAACTTGATATATTGGTGTTACTTCATATGTTTGAAAAGTAACATGTTCTGTAACTTGCTTTGTTGATTAATATCATTTAAAATTCAGACTTGATAAAGGAATAGCATGAAACTTAAAATATTCCACAAGATTTTCCTAAAATACTTTAAAAAGTAACTGGAAACAGTGACTAGAAAAAAAACCATTGTAATTCCCAAATTTTAATTACATTCTTATTCATTATGTGAATACTGGAATGCAACACTATTACATGACACTCATGTACTCATCTAAGCCCAGTTTAACCTTCTATGTCAGTGGTTCTCAACCTGTGGGTCCCCAGATGTTTCGGCCTTCAACTTTCAGAAATCCTAACAATTGGAAAACTGGCTGGGATTTTCTGGGAGTTGTAGGCCAAAACACCTGGGGACCCACAGGTTGAGAACCACTGTTCTATGTCATTTGATTTTGGGATCTTAATTGCTTTAATATTGTGATTTGGGGTGCTGTTAACTACCTTGGGCACTACTTTATATCATAAAGATATAAATGGCTTCCCTTTTAAAAAGTATACCTCAATTTTTAAATATATAGAAACAAGGAAAGGAAAATGCACAGGATGTGAACATAACAAAGCATATGCATTAAGAGAAGTTGATCATGCTTAAAAATACATTTTTTACTTTCAAAAATATATATTAGGAAAATACAAATATAAGGCCAACCAGTAAAAATCTTATAAAGTGTTGTATTTGCAAAATATTGCAAAAAATGGCACAAAAGTAAACCTTCAAGTTCCTACTGGGTTTCAGTGCCTTTTTTGTGCCCTGTTTGTTTTGATGGGTCTTATGATGGCATCCTTGAAGTGACTGGACTGACCTTGAGGGAGCTGGGTGTGGTAACAGCCGACAGGGAGCTCTGGCGTGGGCTGGTCCATGAGGTCACGAAGAGTCGGAGACGACTGAACGAATGAACAACAACATGGTTGTGAAAGTTCTGAGAGTGCCTTCGACTGCAAGAAGATCCAACCAGTCCATCCTCCAGGAAAAAAAGCCCGACTGCTCATTGGAGGGAAGGATACTAGAGACAAAGTTGAAGTACTTTGGCCACATTATGAGGAGACAGGAAAGCCTAGAGAAGACAATTATGCTGGGGAAAGTGGAAGGAAAAAGGAAGAGGGGCCGACCAAGGGCAAGATGGATGGATGGCATCCTTGAAGTGACTGGACTGACCTTGAAGGAGCTGGGGGTGGTGACGGCCGACAGGGAGCTCTGGCGTGGGCTGGTCCATGAGGTCACGAAGAGTCGGAGACGACTGAACGAATGAACAACAACAACACGATTGTGCATGCATATTATTCTACATTGGAGCCAATGGACCCACATAGTTTATGGGTTCAGATTAGGGTTGTACTTTCGGGGTAAACCTTGACCCGTTTTGTGTTCCAGCTTTCAGTGGGGACCCCAATCCATTTTTGGGAGCCTCCCGAAATTAGGAAAGCCGGTATCTCTTTTTGCTCTGAGGTGCCAAAAGATTTACTTTCTATTGGTCCATTATTGGGGGGAGGTCCTAGGCTCTCCTTCCCATCATTTTAGGTATTTAAGCTGTTTTACTCTAGAGGAGAGGTGCTCATCTTGAAGCAGGCATGCACTTTAAAGAGACTTCTTCTTTCTACTCTAGAGGAGGGGCGTTTCCAAGGCAAGGAGGCAAGTTCTCATTCTTACTCTAGAGGAGGCGCTCGGCTGCAGGCAGGCACACACACTTTCTGGGCCACACATACACTCTTTTTCCAAGCAAGGAGGCAACAGGCAAGTTCTCATTCTTACTCTAGAGGGGGTGCTCGGCTGCAGGCAGGCGCGTGCACTTCCTGGGTCTGCATGCCATACGCATGCACACTCTCTTTCCAAGGCAAGAAGGCATGGAGTGCCAGATAATCACAAAAAGCAGGCAAGGAGCCAGGATCAGCTCCTGCTTGCTTTTGTGTCGAGCTAATTTTCATACCGGGAGGGGGCTTCCCGTTATGTGCTCCTGAAGGTAAAGGAAGTAATGAAATAATGGATGAAAGAAAGGAAAATGCTTTCCCACACAACTCTAGTTCAGATGCATATGCTTTAAGGACTCAAAACTGTTACTGCAACCCAAGTCTCAGGACCACTTTGATGTGATTTTTTTTTAAAAAAAGCATTGCAGTAACAATATAAAGATGAGAAGTGTGGGTCCATAGGTAATTACCATAGACCATCTCCATCTGTAATGTTTTTTGGTATAGTCAAATCACACTACAATGCATTGCTTTGCAATAGGCACCATGCAAGCAACCTTAGTGTGATTTGATACCTGTACCTATCTACTACAATATTGTAAGTATTATATTATCTCCTTGTCTTACCTGGAAGCTCAGTCGTGTTGAAATTGCTTCAGGGATTTTCAGTGTAGTGACATCTGTTTTTCTGTAATTGGAAGGAAAATGCAGTCAGATCCTATACTCCAAATTGATGCCATTCAAATTGAGTTGAAATCAGCATGTCAAATATAAGATATAATTCCTTAATTTCTCTCTATTAAAATATGTCTATTTTGCACTCTGACTCAACATCTTAGGGCAACATACAACAAAACCACACTTGACTCATTTAAAACAATGAAAGTAATAAAACAATGTTTGAAGGCTAAAACATGTTGTACTATTTATAAAAGATATATGAAAACTGGGTAAAATATTCCAAACCATGTACATATTGTAGCTTGTGTAAGTTAAGTATGCAATACCTTCCACGGAAGATCTTCCATAGGTAAATGAAAAGTACAAGCACGAAGATTCCCAAGAGACAAATGAGGCTGCTGTAGAGAATTCGCATAGGATCTGTCCTTCCTGCACTGTCCATGTCTGAAGATTCAAGGTGTCAGAAATACCAGTAAACAAGTATAACTTTAAGCTTAACTGAATACATGCGTATCTTCTAGGTTATGGAGTGGGTAAGGTGCAACTTGAAAGCCAAAAGAAAATCAGATCTGTTTACCACATTTTTGGGTCTCCTGGACCAGTTTGTGTCCTGGAAAGGGCTTTGTTTGATGTGAGTGGAATGTGATTTTTTTTATCACATCCTATTATTTTAAAAGCGCTTTCCTGAGACATCATGAAAGTGTCCATCAAAAGGCCTTTGGGAATGGCATTTTTTCCCATTTTTGCAAGCCTAGTGCAATGAAGGATCCAACCCTCCAAGGCTGGATCTACACTGCCCTAAATTCAAGGATTTGATCCCAGATTATCTGCTTTGAACTGGATTATATGAGTCTACATTGCCAGATAATCTGGGATAAGAAGATAATCTGGGATCAGATCTTAGGATATAGGGTGGTGTAGATCCAGCCTAAGGTCTTCTAGAGAGCTAATGCACCTCTCCGGCCTTCCACAATTAACCACCCCTATTCTAGGTACCTCTACATTGGTATGCATAGGATCACACAATTAATATATACTTTTGATTAATCAATTTAAAGAAAACATACTGATTAGGACAGCATTTGTGCACAGTCCTATGACATTTCTTATCCATGATATTATTATTATCATGAAGCTAGTTGTCAAACTTCAACACTGAGCAACAAATATTTCAGAGAAAATATACAATTCCAGTTATCTACAGAATGTATGGTCACCTTTCAATTTCTTGGAAGAACATGCCAAAGGGTTGTCACTATGGCTGAACAGTCAGAAAAGTATCCAAGTAGTGTTACCTAATGAGAGACTGAAGACACGGGACTCTTCCCAGGCAGGATGAGAGACGATACAAGCAATGTCATCCTGAGTGGCATTGGTGACATAGTATTCACTGATTATTGTCTCTGTGCCCTTAAGTGAAACTTCAGGTTTAGTTTTATAATCTCCTTCCGGGGTCCATGAAATCTGTGCAGCCGGTTTTCCAGCAGCTGCCTTGCACACAGGATTGCCATTGACGTTATAACTCAAAGACACCGAAGGAGGTACTGAAAGGGGAAAAAGTCAGATTTATACAACATTGGAACGATGAGTCCTGCCCTAGGAACCCATAGGAACGCTGGCATGAAGCTGATATTCTGCCATTCTACTGATATCAATCAAAATATAATTGAATGTATCAATAGGATTTGGAACAGATGTGCCCTTCAAAAAGCCTGCTAAGAGTGTGTTAACTTTTGAAAAATAATATGTGATATCTGACTTATTTTCTTCCATTATCCTCCTTGAATTAGAAATCCTACATCATCTGTTTATAGGACTTTTAAAAAGCAGTGAGCGTGCAGTCGGTGAGATTCAAGGAGTTAACAGTCCGAAGAAAGCCATATTTTCAAGCTTTGGTTTATATTAATATATCCAGAATGTTGCTGTCCTTCTGTTTGTTTGTTCCACTTTGGTAAAAAAACCCCCAAAAAACAAAACAACCAAACAAACATCAATTCTGAAAGAGGGATAGCATCACTAGCGATGTTTTGAGAATGCTGGAAAACAGAAAAGAGCACAACACTTGGCATGTTACATGTTCATCCAACATTTCATAGATTCTTACTATCTCCAGAAAGTAATTTGTTGGATTACTAACATATTACCACTACTGCTAGTGGTAATATGTAAAAATACCATTTTTTTTGCCTTTATGGTATTTATTACAGACAGAAAAATGGTTATGTTATACTTAAAAGTAGTGAATTTTTGCTATTGGAGGTAAAAAAATTACTGCAAAAGGTGCACAGTTACTATACTGATTTATCAATTTCTTAAGTATTTCTATTCCTGCTCTTCTGCACAATTGTGCTGGCTAGTTTTCTCTCTTCAGCATGACATTGGATCACTATATAAAAGATATGTGTATTTTCAGTATTGCAGCACAGAGTTATTTTTAAAGTTAACAAGCAACACAATTTGTTCCTTCTTTGTCACATGGCAAGATGGGCAACCAGTCTCTGGCATGATTCCTAGCAGTCCAGTATTCAAAAGTCCTTTGTGTTCCAACTTGTCTTCTGAAAAAGAGACTGTGTTGCTCCAGGGACAACATGATGTTGTCCTTAGTACTACATCAAACAACTCACTCGAGCCATAATGGAGTTCAGGCTGACTACTTTGGTCTTTTCTATGAACAGCAATTGCAAATGATCACTGGGATGGGGAGAGAAGACGGAAGACATGAGGAAGAAGCCTGGTATAAGTTTTGGTGAAGCAGAGCGATGTCTTGAATTAAAATGTGGCAGAGGCAGTTCTAAATTGTGATGTATATATGAATGGGTCATCAAGTCACTTGCCACTTTATGGTGACCATAAAAGGTAAAGGTTCTCCCCTGACATTTCAGCTTCTTCCATCATCTTCTAACACAAAAAGTTACTATGATGTTTAAAAAAGGAGAAGAAAAAAGTAGAAGAAAATAATTTCTTAACTAGTTTAAAACAAAAGAACAGAAAAGTTAGTATAGAGTATGTAGAAACATAGAAGATAGCAAAGTTAAGAAATAGAAAACAGAAAGCCTTATACAACACTCCTTGCCCTAACACTGCTACCTTCTTCATAATCAAAATAACTATTTTTGTATCTTGCATCTTCTTGTAGATGAACTCTTCAGGACCCCTTGGATATTTTGGGGATCCTGCTATTCTTGTTACTCACTCCTCTTTTTTCTTTTCTTGTCAATCTTACATCTCTGTAATATCATGTAAAAGCCAATGGGGGTTTTTTGTCCACTCTTCTTTTAAAAAGTCAGCAAAATGCTGCCATTCTTCTTCAGTTAGCTAAATGATGCTACTAATTATTTGTAACCCAAATAATTACCAGATTATCACAGTATTTGGTTTCTTCTTTAAATTTGGGAGCATCTGGCAATTCTATAAACCTGGTCAATCTGTCCATTTCTGCCAGGGCTATCATTTTTGTAATCCATACATTTTGAGTGGGAATTTCTTCTTGTTTCCATTAATTGCAAATAATGAAAAACTCTTCTCCTCTTGTTAGGCAAATTTAGTCCATTTATATTTAAATAAACTATATTTAGGATCCTCATTCTTGTCATAGTAGATGATCATCCAATTCTTCTTCATCATGTAGAATGGCCTGTTGCTGTTGTTGAGCATCTTCCTTATCTAGGATCCATTGAAGTTGCCATCTCTTGCTTTCTTGAATGTTCTTTTGATCATTGGTTTCCTGATCTTTCCTCTGAATTTAGGTCTTTTTGGAATTTCTTATAAAAAATCCTGGGCCTTCATGATGGATGTTAACCTTACAAAGGACAATACCTTTCTCCTTTGTAAGATACCATCAGTCCTTCTGGGTTTTCCCATCAAAATCTGTAGCCTTTCTTCTTAAGTTTATCTGTCTGGTGGAAGTTCTCTTAATAATGCAATCCTGGTTCTACATCTATATTCTGTTTTTTGATGCCAATCAATACCTCTCCTTAACTCTTGATATCATTTGGACCTCAATGTTTAGTCATGATTTAAATAACTAGCACTCAAAATTAATAATTGGGAAATAAAGTAATTGAAGGGATCATTTGGGGACACATGGAAATGAGATGCAAATGAACTGAATATTTTTTTTTGTGAGTCACGTAGAAAATTGTCTTGCATTTTGGGAAATTTAAATTTTAGGATTTATTGTTATATTTGCATATAGATATATAGATACAGATATGGGAGACAGTAGAACCTGCCTGATCCTGTAAGCCAAGTGGAATCAGCCCCGGTTTGTACTTAGATGGAAGATCAGCAACAAATAGCAGATATTGTAGGCTATATTTCACAGGGAGACAAAACCATTTGTTGTCTAGGAAAACACTATAAAATTCCCAGAGCCACCATACGTGACAGGTGATTTAAAATCACATATGTACACTAATTGGATCGTTTATCATTGTTATGCACTTTAATGCCGGTAATTACTTTTCTTTAGCACACAAATGCATACTGGTATATATGCAGATTTATATGCAACTTAAGTTGCTACCTTAATAAAGAGTGAAATGTTGTCCGAACTACAACTCCATTTATGCTTCCTTTTAGAGCCTGCAGGGTTCCCTTCTTAAGGGAGACTGAACTTTAAGAAGATGAACAGTCGGGCAAATGAAGAAGTGGCTCATTCTCAGTTTGGCTCCGTCTCAAGAATCTGGCAGCATATTGTCTTGTCATCCCTTTCTCTGCTCAGTTTGCCCCCCCCCCCCATCCCCCCTGAGATATGCAATGCACAAATACTGGAAAAGAATTGGTTGGTTACACAATTGTCAGAACTGAACTGAAAGGTCAGCATAGCACATGCAACAGGCACATCTCAGTTTCACATGGTGGGGGCGTGCAATGTGGAACAGCACGCATCTGGAGGTCATTTAACTAAAGGAGCAAAGTTAAGCTAAACACATGAGGTATTTATTCATTTTAGTGCTGGAATAGTAATGATGCTTAACACCCAAGAGTTAAGAATGCCTCAGAGCAGGCAGTAGTAACAGGATTAGATAGTTCTCATGACCCAAAATGTCTTCCCTTCTTGTCTATCTATCCTGATCCTTCTGTGATGTAAACTGATTCTCTTAGGAATCTTTCTGCATCCTTCTCAAAGCCTTTAGTTTGTTCCTCCAAGCCATTCATGTCTTTACACATTAACTAGGATCTCTGACTGCTAGATACACTATCTGATGGGAACCCAAGCTTTGGTTATTTTGAGAGATCTGTGAAAGAGTTAAGATATATCTAAGAGCAAGCCAGCCTTTGAAAACAACCTCCTAGATTATTGAGCTGACCATTCCCAAATTAATGGGATAACTTCTCAAACTGCATTTGAAGAACAGAACTTCAGTTTGGAGGGTTTTAAGTAGAGGCTGGGTAACCATCTTTCAGGGGTGCTTTGAATGCTATTTTCCTGCTTCTTGGCAGGGGGTTGGAATGGATGATCCAAGAGGTCTCTTCCAACTCAATGATTCTATGATTCTAGGAACCTGGTTCCTGGCTATCTGCAAGGAACAAGGCCAATGGATGCTGACAGGATCCCAGCATGGGAAGCTAAGGACTGGGAAGCCTATGGGCACATTGCCAGCACTTTCACTAAGGAGACATATAGGTACATTAGGAACAAGAAAACTGCTAAATTAATGGAAGGATATCTTGAAAAGATGCCCAAGAAATTGGACACCTATCTGCATCTTTCATTTAGAAATGCTCACCTGGCAACTCTACATCTTTTGCTATCTAATTTTACTTAGCCTGATTTGGATGTAGGTGGAATTGGGAAATACGGATGTAAGAGAGCAGGTTGAACATGAAGTCTGAAGGAGACTGATAAAGAAAGTTGGCTGCCTGAGACAAAGGGCAATGTAGTAGATCTGCCAATATGAATTATTTCACATTTCTTGTTACCCTACATAGTTTGGGTCTGGGTTATCTACAGGATTGCATTCTCCCGTATTATCTGCCCCAAACACTGAGGTCCTCTGGGGGACATCTGCTCCATCCTGACAGAACCTAACAGGTAACCATCACCAAGAGGATCTTTTCAGCTCTGCCCCACAACTGTGGAACGACCTGCCAGTAGAGCTCTGACAGCTAGATCAGTTGTCACAATTTAAGACACAAATGAAGACCTATCTCTTCCAGCAGGCCTGCCCAGGCAGTTTTAATGATGAATTTTAAACTTCCACTTCCACAAAACCTATCTCAGACATAACTGGAATTAAAAAAAGAGGTTTCTTACCTAATACTGTTAGATAATAGGAAAAGAAGAAAGTTCCATTGGCATCTGAAATAGAACATCGGTATAATCCTTCGTTGGAAATTTGGGCTGACTTTATCTGAAGAGAAGGCGGATGCCTTGGTCTAGATAACCAATTTGAATTCTCACTGCAGTTTTTGCTTTCCTGATCATGTTTAGTCCAGTATGATAAATGGCACCATATTCCATTATATAAGTATGCATTCCACACTACCAGGTCATATATGTGTCGAGGACAATCCAATACAACAGTAGCGCCAATTACTGCAGACTTATTCACTTTACCTGAAAGGATAGAGAAAGAAATATGAGTGGCCACCATAGTCAATTTCCTCAAATCTGGGTATATAATTGGCATATTATAATTCTGTGAATTCTTCCATTGTCATTTGCACCATTTTAATATTTTTACAATGTTTACAATAGTTTAGGGAGAATAACTAATCACTGCAGAGTATTGAAGTCAACATGGATTTATCAAAAACAAGTCATGCCAGACTAATCTGATCTCTTTTTTCGATAGAGTTACAAGCTGGATAGATGCGGGGAATGCCATGGATGTAGCATACCTGGATTTCAGTAAGGCCTTTGACAAGGTCCCCCACGACCTTCTGGCAAGGAAACTAGTCCAATGTGGGCTAGGCAAAACTACGGTGAGGTGGATCTGTAATTGGTTAAATGGACGAACCCAGAGGGTGCTCATCAATGCTTCCTCTTATTTTTTATTTATTTATTTATTACTTCACTTGTATACCGCTCTTCTCAGCCAACGGAGACTCAGAGCGGTTAACAACCAGTATCAACAATACAGTACAAAATCATTAGTAATTTAAGACAGTAATATCAATTAGTTAACATCAGGACATCAATACAACAATACAAGAAAAACAACAATCCAACACGTCTCATCAATAGAATCAGCATCCGATCTCGTCCATTAATCCATATTCCAGTAATCAATCAATTGCACTGCTTAGTTGAAAGCCTGTTCGAAGAGCCAGGTCTTCACTCTCTTCCTGAATGCCAATAAGGAGGGCGCCGATCTTGGGCTGAAAAATGCGGTATAGAAATAAAGCAAATAAATGTCTGTAGGAAGGGCGTTCCACAGCCGGGGGGCCACTACTGAGAAGGCCCTGTCTCTCGTCCCCGCCAGGCGTGCTTGTGAAGCCGGCGGGACCAAGAGCAGGGCCTCCCCAGACGATTTTTTTTAAAAAAAATATCTTTATTGAGATTTTCAAAATGTACAATCAATAAAAATAAGAGAATATAGATAGCACAGTTTGTCATGTAAAGATATATAAGAATAAAGAAGAAAATAGCAGGAGAAGAGAAAAAGGATAGGTAACCATTGGAAAGGGGGGGGGAAACCAATAGTGAAGGTAAGAAACAGGAAAAGGTGAAAGGCTAAAAGTGAAATTTAAAAGAAAAGAATCAGGAAAAAGTTCTTTCTTCCATCAATGCGACTTCCAGGACTCTGTGAGGGTCAGCCTTCTCCTCTTCTTTCTTTCACTTTCTTCTCTTCGTCTCGTATTTTCTAATTCTTATTGACTAAAATTCTTGTTATGTAGTTGCTTTTCAATGATCAGGCCGTTTCGCCTGTCTTTCTGTGTTTGCTATGTTATATATATATCTATGTATACACACACACACACATATATATGTATATATATATATATCTATATATTTAGCTGTTAGTTGCCTAGATTCAAGTATTCTTTAAATTTTGTCCAGTCAGTTCTTGTCTCCTCAATTCCTTTACTTCTTTGAATTATGTAGCTTAGGATGTCCATATTTCTTACATCCATCATTTTCTTCTTCCAATCCTCAATCCTAGGTACTTCCTTTTTCCTCCAGACTCTCGCCAGGTATAACCTGGCCGCTGTTATTGCGAGAAATAGTAGTTTATCTGTATTCTTATCCATATTAATTTTTATAATGCCTAATAAAAATATTTCCGGTTTTAGGGGTATCTTAATTTTTAAAATTTTCTGTAATATAGTCTGTATTTCTTTCCAGTAGTTTTTTATTTTCTTACACTGCCACCACATGTGGTATAGTGTCCCTTCTACTGTTCCACATTTCCAGCATCTTGAGTTTAAGTTTTTATAATATTTATTTAATTTGCAAGGTGTCAGGTACCATCTAAAAAAAAATTTCCACCAATTTTCTCTCATATCATAAGCTTTTAGGTATTTTAATTTTTTTTCCCAAATCGTTTCCCATTCCTCTAATCCAATCGTCCTACCTACATTCCTGGCCCATTTCACCATACAGTCCTTCACCTTTTCTTCTTCTGTACTCCATTGCAATAGCTCTTTATATATTTTGGAGATTCTTTTTCTATCTGTTTCCCAAATTTTATCCCAAATATGTCCTTTTTTTCAAACCCTGTCTTTTTATCTTTCGCAAAAAACTCTTGTATTTGTCTGTATTGTAACCAAGTCATGTTTGGGTAATTTAATTTTATATCTTCTAGGGGCCTTAAACTAATTTCCTTTTTTTCCACTTTTACTAATTCTTTGTAGTTAGGCCATTTGACATGATTCTAGCGGGGAAATCCACATTGGGATTTTGCTGTACATTCTCTTTTTATACTTATCCCAAGTTTTAATGATGGATGCTCGCACGAAATGGTTCCTAATTTTTTTTTCTAATTTTGTTTTCTAATAGCCAATGTAGGCATGCCATCCTCTGCGGAGGTCACATCCTTCTAAATTTAATATTTTTTCTTTCTTTAGTTTCACCCATTCTGTGGCCCATGCTAGGGTGCATGCCTCCGCATATAATCCTAAATCAGGTAATGCCAAGCCCCCTCTACCTTTCTCATCTGTTAAATTTTTATGACTTATCCTAGGCTTTTTATTGAGCCAGATGAATTTTCTGATATCCTTATTCCAATTCTTTATATTTTTCTGATTTCTAATTATAGGTAGATTCTGGAAGAGAAACAGCATCCTTGGTAGAACGTTCATTTTGATACATGATATCCTTCCTAAGAGTGAAATTTTCAAGTGTTTCCAATTCTCTAAATTTTTTTGGATTTCTTTCCACGTTTTTAGATAATTATTTTCAAAGAGTTGTGAGTTCTTGGCTGTAATTATAATGCCTAAATATTTGAGCTTTGAAACGATTTTTATCTTGTTAATTTCTTTAATCTGATCTATCTTTTTTTTGGTATGTTTTTCGTTATTGCTTCTGTTTTTTCTAAATTTAATTTAAAACCCACTACTGTTCCAAATTCCTCAATGGTTTCCAGCCATCTATTTAGATTTTTGTTTGGTTCCTCGATTATACAGATTATATCGTCGGCGAATGCCCTACATTTATAAGAATATCCATTTATCCTTGCACCTCGTAGTTCTTCATTTTCTCTTATGTCATTTAATAGCAGTTCTAAAGTTAATATGAATATTAGCGGCGATAATGGACATCCCTGCCTCGTGCCTTTTCTGATCTCTATTCCATTGCTTTCTTGTCCGTTTACTATTATCTTTGCGAATTGAGTTTTATATATTGCTTCAATTGAGTTTATCATATAATATCCTAAATCCATTTCTTTAAATAATAATTTGAAAAAGTTCCAATTTATTTTATCAAAAGCTTTTTCTGCGTCTATCGCCAAGAACATCACTTCCCTTTGTATGTTTTTATCGTAATACTCAATTAAGTCTAATATCGTTCTGACATTTTCACTTTGGTTCCTACCTGGGATGAATCCCGTTTGTTCTTCTTTAATCCAATTAACGAGAAATTTTTTTAATCTTTCTGCCAGGATATTGCTAAATAATTTATAATCTAAATTTAACAATGAGATCGGCCTGTAATTTTCTAGTTTTTCTGGATCTTTGTTTTCTTTTGGTATCACGCAGATGTTTGCTTGTTTCCAAGATGGGGGTATCTCCTTCTTTTCTCTTACTTCATTCATAACCTTTTTTAACTGGGGTACTAACTGGTCTTGTAGTTTTTTATAATATAGGGCCGTAAACCCGTCAGGGCCCGGAGCTTTATTTGTTCTGAGATTTTTTATTGCTGCTCTTATTTCTTTTTCAGAGATTTCCTTATTTAGAGCTTCTCTCTCAGATTCTGATATTTTCTGTATTTTCCTCTTCGCAAGATAGCTCATAATTTTTTCATTTTTTATTTGTTCATCTTGGTATAATACTTTGTGATACTTCTCAAATTGTTTTCTTATTTCTCGTTCTTCTGTGAAGATCTGCTCTTCAGTTTTTATTTTTATTATAGCCCTGGATTCCCTCTTTCTTCTTAATTTCCTAGCCAACCAGATCCCTGGCTTGTTAGCATTTTGAAAGTATTCAGCTTTTATATAATTCAGCTGTTTTGCTCTTTCTTCTATCTCCAAGTATTCTTTCTCCTTCTGCAACCTCGTCAATCTCTCTTTTACCTTCTTGTTTCTTGGGTCTTCCTTTAGTTTCTTCTCTTCTGCATCTATTTTGTTTACTATCTCTTTTTGTTTTTGATTTGTTTCTCTTCTTTTTCTGGCCTTTTGTTGCATAAAATGTCCCCGCATTACGGCCTTGCTGGCCTCCCATAAAGTAAAGGTCTTTATTTCTTTCATATCATTTTTTTCAAAATATTCTATCAATCTCTCTTTGCTCCTTTCAATGTCTTCTTCCTTTATTAGCAAATGTTCGTCCAGTTTCCACCTCCATTCTCTCTCTCCATTTTTAATTTCCATCTCTAGGGGGCAGTGGTTTGATTCTGATCTCGATAGAATTTTTATATTTTTAATTTTTGGTAGGAGTGATAAGGATGCCCATATCATATCTATCCTCGACCAGGTGTTGTGCCTGGCCGAGAAGAAAGTGTAGTCCTTGCCTGTTTCATTGTTATGTCTCCAAACATCCTGTGGTGGAGGCTCCTTCTTTGGAAGCTTTTAAACAGAGGCTGGATGGCCATCTGTCAGGGGTTATTTGAATGCAATATTCCTGCTTCTTGGCAGGGGGTTGGACTGGATGGCCCATGAGGTCTCTTCCAACTCTTTGAGTCTATGATTCTATGATTCTATGATTGTTTGAAGTGCTGGGCTTGGAGACCAAGTTCAAATCTCTATTTCGTTAATGAATTTACCATGTGGCCTTGGGCCACCATTGCTGTTGTTGTTATTGTTGTGATTATTGTTGTTGTGTGCCTTCAAGTTGTCTGCGATTTTTAGCAGCCCTGTGGCAAATCTAATGAGGTTTTCTTGGAAATAATGCTTCAGAGCGGGGCCTGCCTTTGCCCCCTTATCAGATTGGGAAAGTATGACTTGACATGGCTGAGTGAGAATTAGCACCCACTTGACAACATGAGTAAGAGGACATATGGTTCAATACTCCAGAGGCTTATCAGTGCTGTTTTCCTCTTGCCTCTGTATCCTGAAGCACTTGGCTCATATTTCCTTAAAAAAGGAAACCATCCAACTTGTTTTGAATTGAACCTCAATACTGATGGCATCTTCTGCTTTACCTCATCTGAAAGAAGCAGTCTTGATGAAGGAATAATGGGCAAGGTGCATGGTATGCACAGCTCTCCTTGCTAGTACTTTGCTACTTTTGTCATATTGACAGCATGTTCTAGCTGAGACAGTCCAATCACTAATGGTAGGACTGGCCTTGCTTCTGGAGGTAGGAAAACAGCAGGCTTTCTGAAGCTGATCTCAGATAATGGGCTGTCACATAAAACAGAAAGGACAGGACCTTATAAATTCCTATTAGCTCTGTTCTTATGGATCCATGATACAGCATGTGGTTAGAACCATGTTTTAATTTTGTTTTTCACAGTATCCAGTTATGGTCATTACTATAGATCATATTTGTTGTTTATTCGTTCAGTCACTTCTGACTTTTTGTGACCCCATGGACCAGCCCACGCCAGAGCTCCCTGTCAGCCATCACCACCCCCAGCCCTCTTCAGAGTCAAGCAAGTCACTTCAAGGAGACCATCCATCCATCTTGCCCTTGGTCGCCCCCTCTTCCTTTTTCCTTCCATTTTCCCCAGCATCATTGTCTTTTCTAAGCTTTCCTGTCTTCTCATGATGTGGCCAAAATACTTCATCTTTGCCTCTAATATCCTTCCCTCCAATGAGCAGTCGGGGTTTTTTCCCTGAAGTATGGACTGGTTGGATCTTCTTGCGGCCCAAGGCACTCTCAGAACTTTCCTCCAACACCACAGTTCAAAAGCATTTATAGGTCATATTTACCATGTTTTAATTTTGTTTTGTTTTTTTTTAAAAAAAATCCTATTTATATCTGGCCATCTAGTAATCATGCCTAGAGGTCATATTCTGCCTTCAGGTCAAGTACTTTGTTATAATGGAGGTAAAAACAGACTATAGTTATGTAAAATACAATTTTATATATTCTGCAATCTTATATACTGCTTGTAAGAGCAGGTATGTTCAAGATGTAATATGTGCATACAGCATAATTATATACAGTATAGTAAAGCATAAATACAGATGCCCAGCATTACCTTCTGCCAGCTGAGATGTAACCTTGTTCACTGTCACAGATCTGATGGAAATGTTGTTATGGCTCTGTACAGAATTATTTTGATTAGTCTCTCTTGCAAGGGATGACCCTAAGAAGAGTGATGACAAGAAATCATGAAATCAGTACCACTACATACACCTGTTTTTATTTCTGTTTTTTACATAGCATAATGTTCGGAGCAATGCTACAAGCACTGAAATGAAATTATTGGGCAGTCCAAAGTATCAATTAGCTACAGGCACCATGGGCTTGGGGATAGAGGAACCCCATCCCAATGTGCTCCTGTAATAAACTTATTTATAAAGAAAGACCAGACATTGAAACAGCTTCCACTATCATTTAAAGATCTTTTTTGGAAATATAGGCATACATATCTAAACTGCAGTTTCCATGTGGCTCTGCCATGCTTTATACTACTGGACATGTATACAGTAATGTTGTAGTGGCTGGAGGGTTGATTTAGGACTGGGAAGATCCAGCTTCAGATTTCTATAATACATAGGATCTGGTAGGGATGTCTGGGTGGTAACAACCCAAAGCCGGACTCTGAAATCTAGAAACGCCCCTTGTGATATTGGAGGGAAGGATGAAACAGGTCCTAGGGCCCATTCACGCTACATAGGATAGAACAACTGCCATTGTTCTATCCTATGGAAATCTGGCGTCTGTAGTTTGGTGAGGTACTGGATTGCTCCCACTGCAAATTCCCAATGCCTCTCCTTAAACTGCAAATTCCAGAATTCTATGGAATACAACCATGGTAGTTAAAAGTAGAACAACAATGCTATAATCCTGTAGTATGAATGGGTTTAGGTTATGTCATTAAAGGTAAAGGTAAAGGTAGTCCCCTGACATTAAGTCCAGTCATGTCTGACCCTGGGGTGTGGTGCTCATCTCCATTTCTAAGCCGAAGAGCCAGCGTTGTCTGTAGACACCTCCAAGGTCATGTGGCCGGCATGACTGCATGGAGCGCCTTTATATCATTAGGTATAATATATTAAACATCAAACACAGTTGCACATAGTATACCATTCAAACAAAAAGCTCCAAGTCTAAGAGAAATATGCATAAACACAATTTTCAAGGAGTTCTCGCCCTGAGATTCTTACCCCTTGAGAATTGGGAAAGAAGTCCCAGTCCTGAGACCTGGAAACCCTGAGGACTATAGCAACGTAAGAACCCACTAGATGAGATTAGGTATGTCACCATTTCTTAGCTAAACTTGCCCCATAGGGTCATTGCAAAGATAACATAGGCGGGGCAGGAGCGTTCTCCAACATCTTTTGAAGGGCATTTATGATATAAATATCATAAACAAATAAGAACTGAAATCAATGGAAGCTGAACCAATGTCTCTAAACATACCATGAGGAATAAGCTGCATGCTACAAGCAAATACTTATAAAGCAAAGCCAATAAACCTTTGTTGGGTAAAAAAGACACTAATGAGTCATTATGAGCAAGCAGGGAAACAGTGGCATGTTTATTGGTGGAGTGTTGTTCAAAGCAAATATGAAACTCTCAGAGTTAGGAAACCTCTTTGTAGGAAGAATGTGGTGAGCGAGTGGGGTAAACTCCTTACTGCTTCTCAAAAACACCTGCTCCCTCGCAGAGCGACTTTTCATGACGAAAGAAAGACCCATTTACGAATCATTAAGCATGTAATATTTTAAGAAGGCTGGGTGATACATGGAAGGATAAATTCAGTGTTGACATTTATGTGGGAAAGAAATAGGAGGTGCTCTGTCCAAAGGACTGTGGGAGTCCTGTTCCCAGAAGTGTTGGTTGATCCAAATGATGTATATGGATTTCAGCTCACTTACTACTGTAACCACCAGGTTATTTTTTTTCTTTTTACCAAAGGAAATTTATAAATGTTTGGACAACATTCAGATTTGCAGCTCACTTTCCTCTGTGCACAATACTTTTAGAAGTTTTCCACCAGTTCAAACTGGTTTGGGCAACTGGCTGTTTGGTGAGGAAGAATCTGGCTTCCAATTGAGGGTTGGATTTCCCCATCTCCGTTGCTTTGGCATCCTCTCTGGACCTCCTTGTTTAAACAGACCTTCAAACTTGGCTGACTGAGATGTCATGTAACTTGGGGTGCATCTGCGCTGTAGAATTAATGCACCTTGACACCAGTTTAATTGCCTTAGTTCAATTCTATAGAATTATGGGAATTATAGTTTTACAAGGTCTTCACCTTCTCTGCCTCACCAAACTACAAATTCTGGGATTCCATAAAATTGTCCCTTGGGTGGTTAAAGTGATGCCAAACAGTATTAATTTTATAGTGTAGATGCACCCTATGATCCTGGAGACCAAGATTTGCCTCCCTACTCAACCATGGAAACTCACTGGATGACCTTGGCCAAGTCACATACCCTCAGCCCCAGAACACCCCTTGATAGGTTTTGCTGTTCCATCTTGATATATTTCAAAAAAATTATTTGACCAGAGAAGTGCTTCCCAATCTGTGGTCCATGAAACACCAGTGGTCCACAAGAATGAAAATATGGTCCATGGCTTCACCATTAATCATAGAATCATAGAATCAAAGAGTTGGAAGAGACCTCATGGGCCATCCAGTCCAACCCCCTGCCAAGAAGCAGGAATATTGCATTACTACATCATTGCCTCGAAACCAAGTGTCAACAAGAGCGATTGGTCTCGCAAAACTCTCTTATAGTGCTGAGGCAATAGGGATGTCAGGAGGGGAGAGACTGACTACCTATGAACGATTACTACTACCACATCAGCTCTAGATTATTAAATATGGTTTTCTGTGAGTGAGCAGATGGTGACTACTGGATGGCATGTGTTCTGTGTCAGAAACTAGAACTGATGTGGTCTATCCAATGCAGTTTTCTGAATCAGCACTCCATGTAACCAAATCGGATCTAAAGTTGACCAAAACTGATTCGTATCTCTTTTGGTACTAATGTTGGAGAGTGGTCCCTGATCAAGTGGTCCCCGGTAAAGTGGCCACTGGTCAAGCGGGCCCTGGTCAAAGAAGATTGTGAATTACTGGCCCAGAGGAATATAAAGGCAGTTGCCTGAATTCACAATAACATTTGTTAATTTATAAAATATACCGAAAAACAGAAAGAACTGCATATAACACAAATTGACTATAGGAACACATTTGATTATTAACACAAACAAGGATTGAAAAATGCCTTGAACAACAATATAATATAATTATGTAATACCCTGTTAAGAGTAAATGGAGAAGAATTGCACAGAGTTAATACTCAATATCAAACTTTTCAGGATGATGTCTCATTGCCCTTATTATTTGTTATTGCTATGATACCAGTTGCAATTATACTAAAGAAAACCAATCATGAATATGGAATATCAAAGCCAACTGGAAAAATATTCTTTATTGATAATATAAAACTATACCAATATAAAAGCTTCCTTGAGTCCCCACAGGGAGAAAGGCGGGGTATAAAGTAAACAAATGAATAAAACTGTATGGAAGGTCAACATCAGTCTGGAACTTTTGACAGACAAGAGGCCTGATGGTGAAAAGGCCAGGACATTGAGCGAATACAGCAATGAGTAAATGGTACACATTTTTTAAAAAATATATTTGTGTCTTGACATTTTGATCTACATTCTGCTGTGACAAGACCTTTAAAAAAAGCCAACTGTCAAATGCTCATTAGTTCTTTACAAAATCTACCATTTTCTGTAAATAGAATCATATAATTATAAAGTCCAATCCCCCACCAAGAATCAGGAAAATCCCATTCAAAGCACCCCTGACAGATGGCCATCCAGCCTCTGCTTAAAAGCCTCCAAAGAAGGAGCCTCCACCACACTCCGGGGCCGAGAGTTCTACTACTGAACAGCTCTCACGGTTAGAAAGTTCTTCCTAATGTTCAGGTGGAATCTCCTCTCCTGTAATTTGAAGCCATTGTTCCACATCCTAGTCTCCAGAACAGCAGAAAACAAGCTTGCTCCTTCCTCCCTATGACTTCCCTTCACATATTTTTACATGCCCATCATGTCTCCTCTCAGCCTTCTCTTCTATAGGCTGAAAATGCCCAGCCCTTTAAGCCACTCCTCATAGGGCTTGTTGTCCAGACCCTTAGTCATTTTAATCACCCTTCTGTGGACACATTCCAGCTTGTCATCATCTCCCTTAAATTGCAGTGTCCAGAATTGGACACAGAATATGCTGCTTATTATGGAGCACATTACAATATTAAACTGTGACCCTAAATATTGTAAACAAATGGTGAAATTCAAGTTCCTGATGCTGACTCTCCAGATCCTTTGGAAGATATCCATTCATATGGGCAAAACCGAGAGACATAGACATTAGAAGAAAAGATAATATCACCTGTGAAAAAGTAGACTTACCCATTATTGCCATGGCCAGTATGATCGTGAGCAGGGCATACATAGTACCATATTTTGTACCACAACTAATGCCAGATTTTGCATCCATGGTTCAGGCTTTTCATCCCCCCATCCATTCTGTAGTATGTCTAGCCCACAAGCATATTTGGGTACAAATGCTTCATTCCAGCCAGCATTTCTTTCCACGTCACTTGATTTCTGCAGCAGCTCAGTATGTTCTTCACTGATTAGCTCCTTTGGGTTGGTTTGGTTCCTCCTTCTACTTTACCACTCTTTGGGACTTCCTTTGTGCGTAGAGTTAAAAGTGATCACTGAGGAAACAGACCAAGCTACTTTTTTCACGGCTGTCTTTGCAAAGATAATTGTCTACAACAGAACTCCAGGAAAAAAAATTGAAAAAAATGAAATTGTCCATCCAAGCCCAAGCTCCTTACCAAAGAGGCATTTATTTCAAGGGAATGACACTTAATAGATGACGATAAGCTGTTTATAGAAGAACAACCACATATCACATAAAAAATCAGGTCCATGATATGATCACAGCAGAATCCACCAAGACACTGCTTCTGCAGTGTTTCTCATACATGAAGCAAAAGCACAGTTGTGTGGCACATTATTCAGTTTCTCCAGGGCTGCTGCTGCTTATAGATGTCATTCTCTTTGTGGATGACATATTCCATAAGCAGGGGAGGGAGGCTATATACACCTTCATATTGTTCAGTTAGTTCTGTTTCTGATGACTGTTAGTGGGTGTTTAAGATTCAGAATCTCTTTAAAGGAAAACTGTTTTCACTTCCATGAAATGACTCAGTATTGTGTAGTAATCACAGTTGTATATGTGTGCATTTTAAGTAAAAGTACTGCACGACTCCCAGCAAATTTGACCCCCTATGTGCTTCATCTCTGTTTTGCCCTCCCTTCACTGATCTGGATTCTTTGCAGTCTAGTTTTAGGCCTGGTCACAGAATGGAGATAGCTTTGGTCACCTTGGTGGAGTACCTCCACTGAGAGCTAGACAGGGGGAGTGTATCTACATGAAACTACTAGGTGAGGTCATCCGGAGTTTTGGAGTTGAATGTCATCTCTACACAGATGACACACAGCTCTACTACTCTTTTCCACCACACTCCAAGGAAGCTCTTCAGGTCCTGAACCAATGCCTGGCAGCTGTGATGAACTGGATGAGAGCTAACAAGCTGAGGCTCAGTCCAGACAAGTCAAAGGTCCTCCTGTTTAGTTGTGAAACCGATCAGGATATAGAGTGGCAGCCTCTGCTCAATGGGGTTACACTCCCCCTGAGGACACAGATCCGCAGTCTGGGGGTTCTCCTGGACTTGGCACTGACACTTGAAGTTCAGATGTTGGTGGGGACCAGGAGGGTCTTCACACAGTTTTGTGCACCATCTGCGACCGTACCCCGAAAACCCTGACTTGGACATAGTGGTCCACGCCCTAGTTACATCTAAAAGGGACTGCTGCAATGCACTCTATGTGGAGCTGCCTCTGAAGATAGCTCGGAAACTGCAATTAATGCAAAGGTTGACTGCCAGATTACTAACTGGAGCAGCTTATAGGGAACATTCTACACCCCTACTGAAACAGCTGTATTGGCTGCTGACAGGTTTCCGGTCCAAATTCAAAGTGTAGGTCATTACCTTCAAAGCCCTACACGGTTTGGGTCCAATCTATCTTTGAGACCACATCTCCCCCTATGAACCGGAGTGAGCTCTAAGATCTATCAGGGAGGCCATCTTCTGGGTCCCGCCTCTGTCTCAAGCATGGTTGGTGGAAACGAGGGAAAGGGCCTTCTCGGTGGTGGCCCCTCGACTTTGGAATGCCCTCTCCAGAGAAATTGGGCTAGAATCAAGAATCTGAAAACTTGATTCTTCAAGCAGGCTTTTGAACATGATTAATATAATCAGTTAATTATTTATTCCTGCACTCTATGTGACCGGCACTGACATGGCTGTATTTTAATCAGCAGTAATTACTGTATTTTATTGAGTATTTCCATCTAACTAGAAGGGGTTTATGCTGTTTTATATACATTATTGGTTTTATATAAATTAACAGTGTATATTTCTGCACTACTAAGTGCTTGTAGGCTGCTTCAAGTCCCTTTTGGAAGATGGTGGTGAGATATAAATTAAGTTTTATTTATTATTATTTATTATTATATTTATGGACATCAGGGGCTGAATACAAACTAATAAGAGCTCAGTGGCCTTCACACATCTTTGCAATAGATGGAAACAAGCAAGTTGTGCAAAGGTAGAGTCCCAAGTAAGTTTCATGATCCACTTCACAGAAGGCAAACCACAGTGACGTTGAGAGTTAGTTTGTCAAAGGATAGAAACCGAATACAAGCAGAAGTGGGAAATCCTTTTGCCCCAAGAATCTCAAGCCAGTGGTGGTGGGCATAGACAAAGTGTTAAAAACCCGCTTTGGCGTGGATTTGAATACTGTCTGGAAGCGCCCTCATACACACAGAACCGCACATACAGGGTCTCAAAGTAGTAGAAGTTAGCACATTGAAGAGGAAAGCACAACTGTCTATCCTCAAGAACCACAAAAGATGTAAAAGAGTCTTCAACAATAATTACGTATGTATTCAGACTTAGTTAGTCTGTATACAGATCTTATCTGCTTAGTCAGGAATTTTATGCTTTAAAAGCCTACTATAGCTATATTAAGTGATTAAAAATCATCACAATGTCAACTATAGCTTGACCTTTATGAGTTTACAAAAGTGGGTGATGAGATAAGTGGGGAGGTAGAAGACTGAGATGACTAATAGCTATGCAGTGGTTGCAAAAAAAAAATCCTTGCTGAATTACAAAACACACAAAAACCTTGTTATGCCCTAGCATTATCTTATCGCTTACCATTTGTGATATATATATACACACACACACACGCACACACACACACACACGCTCCATTCATATTGCCTAGGTAGAGGCTATCAATAATGATTAGCTCCGTATGTAATGAAATATGCTTGGAGTATCCTCAGTAGATGTAATTGTTAAATGGTGACTGTAATTTTTTCTTTATGACAGCCGTTTTCTAAACATCGTTCATGCATAGGATCTAAAAGCTGTGAACTGAATGTTACCATCCCTAATCACGAGGAAGGAAATGCCTGCTTTTAATCTGATCAAACTCGAGATCCGATTTGGCCTTGACAGCAGAAAAAGAGGAAAGCAACATTACAGTTGAACAGACTTAGGGTGCATCTATACTGTAGAATTAATGCAGTCTGAGCGCACTTGATCTACCTTGACTTAGAGCGATGGAATCATGGGAGCTGTAGTTTGTTGAAGCATCAGCCCTCTTTGGCAGAGAAGGCTAGAGAATTTGTAAAATTACAGCTTCCATTATTCCATAGCACTGGGTCATGGCAGTTAAAGTGGTGTCAAACTTCATCAATTCTACTGTGTATTCCGAGAAATACCTACAGAGCGAAAAACCTTAACAAATGTTTGACTCCTACAGAAGTGAAAATGTAGCTCATCAATTTGTGGACTACATTTTCCCCATCAGGAAGAATCTTGGTTTTGTTATTTGCAGTGTCATGTTCATTATGACTTTAGTTCCACAATTAGAAGCTGTCTGGGGAGAGGAGTTATAATTGTCAAGAGTGGTTTAGTGACAAAATTCCTGTTTCCCATTTCTACCCGCATGTGTCAGCAAACAGAGTTCCTGTTTTCAAAACATTTAGACTAGGTGAGCTAGGTGGCTGCTCCAGCATATTGCTGACATTTCAGCAATGTTTGTTTGAAACGTGGTCTTCACTGGAGACTTCAAAGATGAAGATGAAGATGATGATGATAACTTTATTTTTATACCTCAACTCCATCTCCCCGAAGGGACTCAGGGCAGCTTACAAAGGGACATGCCCAGCAAATACAGATTAATAACAAGCACAGAAATACAGTAAGCAACTAAAAACAATAAAACATAAAATCAGGCAAACATCATAAACCAATATCATGGCTCAACAACAAAAAGTGGGTTCGGGCTCATGATTCCTAAATGCGATTATTCCGATGCAGTGCCAAGGGCAAGTGCAGCAAACGGAGGGCTGGGCTAGGAGGCTAATGCCCTTACATTATTAAAGTGTTAGAAGTGCTAAAAGGGACCAAGCCAAAGTGCAGGAGCCTAGATAAGGTCAGAAACGTATTTAGTGAGCTGCCTAATTGAAGGTACAACAGAACAACCAGGTTTTTAATTCCTCGCAGAAAATGGAGAGAGTGGGGTCCTGTCTGATCTCTCTCGGGAGAGAGTTCCACAGCTGAGGGGCCATGACAGAGAAGGCCCTTTCCCTCATTCCCACCAACCACGCTTGCGACGGTGGTGGAAGTGAAAGCAGAGTACGTGCTGGTTCGTAGGGAAAGATGCGATCACGAAGATAAGCCGGTCCTGAACCTAGACCCAAGATAAAAAGAAACAGTAAAAGACATCTCTATCTTGAGAGGTCTGCCTAATCCAGCTCTTGGAAAAGATATTTTTTTAAAATTACAACCCCTGCAAAAAAGCTTCTCCTGGGCCTAAAACAATTGGAGGTGCAAAACAAGGCAAAATTGCCACCCCTTAGAAGGCATTTGGGAGTATGTATGGGGAAAAGGATTGCATTTCCTTTCAGGGGATGTTTCAGGAATTTGGAAATACAATATTTGAAGTTCAAGTGCTCACAATGTCACCCTCCCTCGGGGGAGCGTGCTTGCTCCATCAATGTTTAACATTTACACAAATGACCAGCCACTGCCAGAAGGGACAGAGAGTTTAATCGACACTGACGATCATGCCATCACCACTCAACAGGGAGCTTTGAAATGGTTGAACAGAAGCTCTCTGAAGCTTTAGGTGCTCTTACTGCCTATTATGGGGAAAACCAGCTGATTCCTAATCCGTCTAAAATGCAGATGTGTGCTTTTCATCTTAAGAACAGACAAGCATCTCGAATTCTGAGGATTACCTGGGAAGGAATCCCACTGGAGCACTGCAGCACACCCAAATACCTGGGAGTTACCCTGGGTTGTGCTCTGACATACAAGAAGCACTGCTTGAATATCAAGCAAAAAGTGGGTGCTAGAAATAATATTTATGAAAGCTGACTGGCACAACCTGGGCATCATAACCGGATACAGTAACAGCATCTGCCTTGCGCTTTGCTACTCTGCTGCTGAGTTCACATGCCCAGTGTGGAATACATTGTACCACGTTAAAACAGTGTATGTGGCTCTCAAAGAGACATGCCACATTATCACAGGATGTCTACGACCCACACCACTGGAGAAATTATACTGTTTAGCTGGTATTGCACCACCTGACATCCGTCGGGAAGTAGCAGCCAATAATGAAAGGACCGAGGCAGTGGCATCTCCGGCCCATCCTCTGTTCGGATATCAGCCAGCACACCAACGTCTTAAATCAAGAAACTGCTTCCTAAGATGGAGAGAGATACTTGCAGGAACACCTCAGCAAGCGAAAATACAAAAGTGGCAGATTAAAATCAAGCACCTTAATCAGCTGAGACCAAATGAGAAACTCCCTCCTGGGCACACAAAAGATTGGGCGACTGGAAGGTGTTGAACAGACTGCGCTCTGGCACCACGAGATGCAGAGCCAACCTTAAGAAATGGGGCTACAAAGTGGACTCCACAACATGTGAGTGTGGAAAGAGCAAACCACAGACCACACACTACAATGCAACCTGAGTCCTGCCAATTGTACAATGGAGGATCTTCCCACAACGATACCAGAGGCATTCCAAGTAGCCAGCTTTTGGTCAAAGGACATTTAGCATAATGCCAAGTTTCTTTAACTTTGTGTTTTTAAACGCATATTAACTGTACTCTCAACTTGCTTCTGACACGATAAACACCCCCCCCCCCCCCCCCCCCCCCCCCCCCCCCCCCCCCCCCCCCGTGCCCCAGGAACAGGTCTCTTGTAAATAATGAGTCTTGACTGCTTTCCCAAAGGGAAATCATCCCAAAGTGTCTCACAAAAATATATTGTTTCAGGACAGTCCTTCGCTTGAAAAGCTAAATATGGCAAGAACAGAGAAATCTAAAGGGGATGCAGAGGAGGTGCTACAACAGAGGCAAAATGAGGACATTGCCTTTCTGAATGATAATTCTGCCTCCACAAATCAAATATTCCTTCAGTTCCCTAATGTTTAGCATTGCAAAGAGTGAGATGCTGAAATTCATTCATACTTAGAACTGTTGACAACTGTATCTCCCTTTTCTGTGGATATCTACGTTTAACTCTAGATGCTCAGTAGATATTTTGTGTCAAAGCAATTCTAGAAATTTAGGGAGTGAAGGAAAATTTCATTTAGGAGACAGAATTCTTATTTGGGTGCCATGACCTCATTTCCCCGTCCCGTAGCTGCAGTCCTTGCAGAATAGTAGGTAAAGTCTTTCTCTTTCCACTTCAAACCTGTGAATCTTACCACAGCTATATTTATCATGCCCAGAGAAAATTCCCCATTCTATTTACACAAACCTAGTTGTTTGCATTAGTCTTGCATGCATATTAATTTCACCCATTGCAAACACACTTGGGATATTTATATGAATTTATATGAATATTTATATGAATTTATGGTATTCCGTGATTTTTCCAGCTTCTTCTTAAAACACACCCTTATCCAGATACTTGGATTAATCCCCAAAGCCTTACTTCAAATTGAAAATGAGTTTCAATACTCGACATGTAGTGTGATAATTGAGGTTTCAGTGTTGGACTATCTAAGACCTCAGGAGGCCAGTTTCAAATGCTGTTTGGCAATGGCAACCCACAAAGGGTCCAGTGTAGAATTAATGCCGTTTTAAGTAACATGGTTCAATGCTATGGAATGTTGGGAGTTGTAGTTTGGTGAGGCACCAGCATTCTTTAATAGAGAAAGCTAAAGGCCTTGTAGAACTACAACTCCTGGGATTCCACTGCCTTCAACCATGGCAGTTAAATTAGTGTCAAACTGCATTAAGTCTATAGTGCATAGATGCAACTTTATCCCAAATCTAGTTTCAAACTAAGCCTATGGAAATTGTAACAAATTTCTATGCCTGCAGCAAAAGGGCTTTTTCCTTCTTTCTATTGCCACCTAGTGTTGAAAAGCCGGTAGTAAATTGTTCATTTGTTGGGTTGCTCCAAGTTTTTCGGGCTGTATGGCCATGTTCCAGAAGCATTCTCTCCTGACGTTTTGCCTGCATCTATAGCAGGCATCCTCAGAGGTTGTGAGGTTTGTTGGAAAGTAGGAAAATGGGGTTTATATATCTGTGGAATATCCAGGGTGGAAGAAAGAACTCTTGTCTGTTGGAGATAGGTGTGAATGTTTCCATTGGCCACCTTGATTAACATTGATTAACATTTGATGGCCTAGCAGTTCTCAAGGTGTGGCTTCTTACTGCCTGGGGGCATCCTTTGTTGAGAAGTGATTAGCTGTCCCAGATTGTTTCTTGTCTGGAGCTCCCCTTTCTTTATTTAATGTTATGATTTTAGAGATTTTTAATACGGGTAGCAAGGTTTTGTTCATATTAATGGTTTCTTCCTTTCTGTTGAAATTGTCCACACGCTTGTGGATTTCAATGGCTTCTCTGTGTAGCCTGACATGGCAGTTTAAGTTAGAGTGTGTTTCTGTGTTCTCAAATAATATACTGTGTCCAGGTTGATTCATCAAGTACTCTGCTTCCTTACTTTACTTACTTACTTATTTAGACGATTTCTCATAGCTCGAGGATGATTGTCTTCTAGATGTGGTGTCATGGCGGTGGATCCATAGGTGGCTGTAGAGCCCTATTTTTCAATCCGCATATTCTCCTGCAGTGAGGACATTGGTTTCCAGATGGAAAGCAGTCCCAGCCAGGGATGGCTTGATGCGCCTTCCTCTTGGCACGTTTCTCCCTTTCGCCCTCCATTCGTGCCTCTTTGAATTCTGCAGCACTGCTGGTCACAGCTGACCTCCAGTAACAGCGCTCAAGGGCCAGAGCTTCCCAGTTCTCAGTGTCTATGCCACAGTTGTTAAGGTTGTTATTAAGCCCATCAGTAGAGAACCTGCTTGGGGAGATGGTGATCAGGCATTAAGACAACATGGCCAGTCCAGCGGAGTTGATGGTGGAGGAGCATCGCTTCAATGCTGCTGGTTTTTGCTTCTTCCAGCACGCTGTCTTCCCAAGATATTTGCAGGTCAGGCTGAATTAGTTTGCAGTGCCTTTCATGTTCCTTGATTCGTGTTTAGGCAATGCTGCATTTTGTGGTCCTTTATGTAGACTTGTCCACAGCTGCATGGTATACAGTAAACTCTTGCAGAAGTGAGAGGATCCCTCTTGTCCTTTGCTTATTTATTTCGTATCAAAAGCATTGCATAAATTAGTATAAAACCGATAAAAATAGAAGGAGCGCAAGTGGCTACATATCTTTTGACCAAAAACAATGCAATGTCATTGTCTGGAGCCTCCAACAATTCTTCCTCTGTACATGAGGCAGGGCATAGTGGACAAGCATACAGATGCGGAGTTGTCTGTTCTGCTCCACAGTCACATAAGGTGTGGGATTCTTTTAGGTAGTGCCATTTTGCCAGGTTGTCTTTTGTTCTTTGATCCTTTGCTGAACGTAGCATTTGTTGGAATTTCTGTGGGTCTGCAGATTGTTTGTATGTTGTGTTTCCTCATCGGTTTCCATATGCAGCCAGTAGTTCATTTGTTACAGCTGGATAGAAATCATGCAGAACTCTAGAAGTTGTCGGAACACAGCTCCCATCTGGATAGTGAGAAATGCTGAGTCTGGGAATTCAGGAACATCTGGTGAGTTGCAAAATTCCCATTCCTGTGTTATGGTTGTTTAAAAGTGCGATTGCATTACACAATGAACCCTGTGAACCAGAGCAATATAATCAAATGTAGCAAATGGTCTTGTTTACACATGCAGCTTGTAAAAGTGCGGCAATGCTATGTGCAGATGGTTTTTTTAAAAAAGATTTATATGCACTTGCATAATGATCCAGAGCAGATTAGGATCCTCATTTTTTTGATCACCACCAACTGGGAATTAAAGTTAACCACATTATGCACAAAAGGGAAATGCTTCTAAAAAGATTTGGATATATGGGGATCAGATTAAGACTCCAGAGCAGTATTTTGTTGAGAATGCTAAATATCCCTCCAAACTGCAAATCTCAGGATGTTTTCACAGCAGTGAAAGTGAAACCATGGCTCTATAATTCTATCCTATGAAACTACTGTACTCTCATGTCATCCCACCAATATCGAGAATAACACTCTAACATTATAGCTCTATGTTCCACTTCATGGGAATGGCAATACCGCATGGGTTCCTGGGGCGTGTAGTTTGGGCCGAGAAGTTTGGAACGTTCAGCCAGGCAGCTCTCGGCCCTCACTGAACTACAAGACCCAGAATCCCACGGGGTGAATTATCTCCGCGTGGCAGGACTGATCTTGATTTCTGCTCCTTTTGCAGAGCTCTTTTCCCGGACTTCGGGTTTCTGGGGCCCAGCCTCTTTCTAGTTTTGGGACGTGAGTTTGCTGTCTTTTCTATAGCTGTCATTTGCAAAGAAGTTGGGTGACTGTGAACTTTCCTTCTGCCATTTGCTTAAAATGATTCCTGATGATATGATGGCAAAATCTTGCAGAAATGAGCATCACAAACACTTATTTTTATAATCCTTGCTGGTTTTGAGCCGCTCTAATTGCATCTATACTGTATAATTAATGCAGTTTGAGAGCATGGCTCAATACTATGGAATCCTGGGATTTGTAGTTTATTGAGGCCCCAGCACTCTTTGGCAGAGAAGAATAAAGACTTTGTAAAACTACAATTCCCTTGAATCCATAGCACTGAGTCCTGGCAATTGAAACAGTATCAAATTGCATTATTTCCACAATGTAGGAGAAAAGCAGAGTATAATCAATTATTGTTGTTGTTGCTGTTATTCTTATTCTTATTAGCATTGACTATAGGACTTCAAAGGAGCTCCCTGTGGCGCAGTGGGTTAATAATAATAATAATAATAATAATAATAATAATAATAAACAACTTTATTTATACCCCGCCACCATCTCCCCGATGGGATCTCGGAGCAGCTAACATGAGGCCAAGCCCAAAAATACAATACAGCACAATAAAATACAGAATGCAAAAAAACAAATAGCTACAGTAGCAAAATAAAATAAAGCAAATTAACACAATATAAAATCGAACAGGATGGGCAGACCAAATGGACGAGATACAGTGATAAAACCCTGGGTGAGGTAGGAATAGAAAATATGTAAGTGAGGGGAGTCCCAAAAGGATAAAACAGTGGGGTAAGGCTTTCAGTTTAGGACGGGGGAAAGTGCATCATAGTTAAACTGCTGAGCTGCTGAACTTGCTGATTGAAAGGTCGCAGGTTTGAATCCAAAGAGCGGGGTGACCTCCTGCTGTTAGCCCCAGCTTCTGTCAACCTAGTAGTTCAAAAACATGCAAATGTGAGTAGATCAATAGGTACCACTCCGGCGAGAAGGTAACGGCGCTCCATGCAGTCATGCTGGCCACATGACCTAGGAGGCGTCTATGGACAACACCAGTTCTTTGGCTTAGAAATGGAGATGAGCACCACCCCCCAGAGTCAGACACAACTAGACTTAATGTCAGGAGAAAACCTTTACCTTACCTATAGGACTTCAGCATTCTAAATCCAAAAAAGACCAGTAGCAGCCAATAATGAAAGGACCGAGGCAGTGGCATCTCCGGCCCATCCTCTGTTCGGATATCAGCCAGCACACCAACGTCTTAAATCAAGAAACTGCTTCCTAAGATTGAGAGAGATACTTGCAGGAACACCTCAGCAAGCGAAAATACAAAAGTGGCAGATTAAAATCAAGCACCTTAATCAGTAGCTGAGACCAAATGAGAAACTCCCTCCTGGGCACACAAAAGATTGGGCGACTGGAAGGTGTTGAACAGACTGCTCTCTGGCACCACGAGATGCAGAGCCAACCTTAAGAAATGGGGCTACAAAGTGCTCCAACATGTGCAGGTTAATATCCTTCATGTCTAATTATTTAAATATGTTTTTGAAAACTATTATATTCATTGTAATCCACGTACAGCAGACTCTCAGTTAACCATATCTCAAGCAACCAGAACTCTCAAGCAAAAAAAAAGAAAAAGACTACCATTGCACACTGCATTCACAAAGCCGTTTTGATAATTCGGTAGAACTGTGTTACATTAACTTAGTTTTGTCTTAATTTGCCTTTAATGACTGTATTGCAATATTTGCATCAAGTCAATATAGAGTTAATTGTATGGTGCAGTATATGGTAAAGGTTTCCCCTTGACATTAAGTCTAGTTGTGTAGGACTCTGGGGGCGGGGGGGGGGGGGGGGTGGTTATCTCCATTTCTTAGCCAAAGAGCCAGTGTTGTCTGTAGACACCTCCAAGGTCATGTGACCGGCATGACTGCAAGGAGCACCACTACTTCCCCACCAAAGCAGTACCTATTGATCTACCCACATTTACATGTTTTAGAACTGCTAGGTCGGCAGAAGCTGGGGCTAACAGCTGGAGATCACTCTACATCCCGGATTCAAACCGCCAATCTTTCGGTCAGGAAGTTCAGCAACTTCAGCAGTTTAATCCACTGTGCCACCAGGTGCTCCATGGTGCAGTATAGGGTATAGTAGTAGTTAGGCCTATTTTTAATAGTGACTCTCAAGCAACCAGAAAATGCATTTGTTTGGCATCTACCAATCCCCATAGGTGTCAGTTAACTGAGACTCTACTGTACATTGTTTTATTTGCATTGCGTCAATTCACACTTCCATTATTTTTGCTGCAAAAAATCATTGTTATAGCCTTCATAACCAATCTCTCTTCTTTCTGCTTCATCAGCACTTTGAACTTGTGAACTCTAAGCTAAAGACTATATTTTAAAAATGAATGTACTGCATTGGTCGATGAGGGATTGCAAGGCTTTTAGCCATCCATGGGCAAAGATGTTCCAGTCCTCAAATGCAAGGACATGCTGCTTGAAGCGGAGGCATTTCGTGTCCAAAAGCAGGACTCCTATCAAATATGCTTCATTTTCAGAAGTTCAACAATTGCAGGAAAAACAGTTCACTGGACTTGCCTACCCTCTCCAAGATCTCGAAAAATATCTCGCCCCTAACCTGGACACCTCATGCTTTCGTCTTTTCAATCCTAATCGTGATGACATCAGCAAAGGAGAGAAATTTTTCATTCCGTCCCGAGAAAATCTCATTGATTATTACTCTTCTGCTGTCCGGATGGATCACATCCCACAATTATCCCTGCCAGAGGTGAGGTTAAATGAAAGGATAGTTTCATTATTAGAGGCAAAACTGTTGCTATATAGATGCTTATCCAAAACAGGGGCAAATGTAATCAAAGCTGCATTGTGTAAATGTTGAGGGGATGAAGTGCAAAGGAGGATAAGGGCACATTGAAGTTTTGAGTGGAAATCTGTGTTACTCTTGATTTTGCAATATGGGCTTCAATGTAGCTGTCAAAAACAAGTTTCTGGTCCTCATTGTAGAAAACCAGAAACTGCTGAAGAAGACAAGACACAAATATTATAGTTGCTGATAACTACCTTAACATAGGTAGGCATGGAGCCTCCAGTGGTACAATGGATTAAATCAGTGGTTCTCAACCTGGGGTCCCCAGATGTTTTTGGCCTACAACTCCCAGAAATCCCAGCCAGTTTACCAGCTGTTAGGATTTCTGGGAGTTGAACGCCAAAAACATCTAGGGAACCGAGGTTGAGAATCACTGGGTTAAACCCTTGTGCCAGCAGGACTGCTGACCAAAAGGTCAGCATTTCAGATCTGGAGAGCGGGCTGAGCTCCTATCTATCAGCTCCAGCTTCCCATGCAGGGACATGAGAAAAGCCTCCCACAGGATGGTAAAACATCCAGGGGTCCCCTGAGCAACGTCCTTGCAGACATTCTCTCACATCAGAAGCAACTTGCAGTTTCTCAAATCGCTCCTGACACGAAAAAATAGGTAGACATCAAAATGTGCTAAAGTTCTTGCAATAAAATCCAAAGAATATCTTCTAATTGGAGCTATTAGCTGGTATTTGAACTATATCATCTGCCCTTAAGATATATGCAGCTGAAGTGGATCAAATCTTGAAATAAATGGGAATTTGAGCAAGCTTTCCAGTAAGATGCTAATCCATACTTCATGTGTAACACCAAGTCCCATCTTTTTGTCACCACATACTTTGCATTATTTATTTTTACCGCAGCACTTTGTTGCGGTAGTGTGTCTTCAAGGCAAATCCAAATTATGATGACCTTTTCATGGGACTTCCTTGGTAAGTTTTATTCAGAGGAGGGAATGGAAACAACTACAGGACAAATTATTCTCAGCCCTGTCTTAAGATATAACTCTGCACACTTATTCTCCTTAGAGCTTGCAGAAATCTTGTCCATTGAAATAATGAAAGACCCCATAGAATTTCTGCAAAGTCTCAAATTCCCAAAATAACTTTTTTTCTTTTTACACATGGCGTGATGCATTGCAAATATTGTGATGCTACACATACAGTATGTCCACATCCTCTGGGGAAGTGTAATAACTGCATTGGTAACTAGTGCCATTTATAACCACAAATTGGATTATATAGTGGTTAATAGACAACAGATGAATGACAACTTGTTTTAATAAGACACCTTTTCCATTGGCTGGGAAAGAAAAAGCTGCAGTGATTTTAACTTCTTTTCCAGGTTTGTTTTTTAGGACGAAGTAATGTGGGAAAATCCTGCTTGATAAAAGCCTTGTTTTCATTGGCTCCGGATGTTGAAGTCAGAGTTTCCAAAAATCCAGTAAGTGGCATTTGAAGTTTATTATATTCAATATGAATCCAACTTGAAAGCAAGATATTTTGGCTCTTTTTCCTATATTGTGAAATGGTTGGAGGAAGAGAGTTGTAAAGTTGCTACTATAATGAGTAACATTGTCATTCTTATATTCACCAAGCTACATTACTGAGGAAGATAAAGGATATTTATTAGTTGTCTGAAAGCCCTAAGACGCTGTTCTAGTTCCCGGTACACTTAACCTAGAATTTCTGTATGGAGGATTTTCCTGGCTGTGTAGCTGTGGTCACTGTTTCAGCTGATACAGAGATGCCACCCTGCTGTGTAATATAATTTTGGCTCTGTTCACATATTATACTAAATTTGTTGTGCAACACTTTGGCATTAGATAATAGAAAACAGAGGCAAGCAGAATATGAGCCGCGTGCAACCCCAGGGCCATTTTTCACATATCTCACATTTTTGGGCTCATGTTTGTGTCTTCAACTCTTAAAATCATAGACTCCTAGAGTTGGAAGAAACCACAAGGACCATTCAGTCCAGTGTGTTATGCAGTAACACACAGTTGAAGCACTCCCAACAGATGGCCATCTAACCTTAGTTTTAAAACTCCCAGAAAGGAAGACTCTGCCATATTCCGAGGCAGCAACATTTTCTACTGTTGAACAGCTTTGCTTGTCAGGAAGATCTTCCTAATGTTAAGTATACACACTTTTCCACCAAGTTTGAGCTTGTTGCTCTATGACTGAAGCCCCATCTACTCTGACCATTTAATGCAGTTTAAACTGGCATTGGTTTCACTGTGTAGGTGATTACATAGGAAACACACATATAATGTTAACAACAAAAGGAATGGGAGTGGGGAGTTAAATCAGCGAGGACCAAGAAGATGGGAGCATTTTATTGCTAGTCTTAACCACAATGAAGAGGTTTTTCAAAATCACGTTTGTGGAGCTGGTTTCCAAAAGGTAACAAATCCATCTGAGCAAATTTTACATGCTGAGAATATGTATTCTTTTGCTCTACAATATAATTTTCCAGCCCTGTACCAAAGTGATTTGAGACATTTTGATGGTTTTGATCTGTACATAATATTCTCTTCCTAACTGAAAAAAAGACAAAAGAAATACTCATTTTTTTCCTCCAGGGTCACACAAAAAAATTGAATTTCTTCAAAGTGGGAAAATTCTTCACCTTGGTGGATATGCCAGGCTTTGGTTACAGAGCCCCCAAAGACTTTGCAGAAATGGTGGAACCTTATTTAAATCACCGTCCAAAGTAAGACTAAATATAACAGCTGTTACAATCTAAATCTTTTCTACAGTATGATCTGGTTGCTTTGTGTGTGTCAGGAGCGACTTGAGAAACTGCAAGTCGCTTCTGATGTGAAAGAATTGGCTGTCTGCAAGGATGTTGCCCAGGGGATACTAGGATGTTTGATGTTTTACCATCCTTGTGAGATGGGGAGTTGGAGTTGACAGAGTGATCTCAACCTGCTCTCCCTGGATTCGAACTGCTGACCTGTCGATCTGCACTTCTGCCAGCACAAGGGTTCAACCCATTGTGCCACTGGGGGCTCTGGTTGGGTTAGAACAGGGGCCCTCAAACTAAGGCCCGGGGACCGGATACGGCCCTCCAAGGTCATTTACCCGGCCCTCGCTCAGGGTCAACCTAAGTCTGAAACAACTTGAAAGCACGCAACAACAACAACCCTGTCTCATCAGCCAAGAGCAGTCCCACACTTCCTACTGAAATATTAATATGTTTATATTTGTTAAAATTGCTCTACATTTTAATTATTGTATTGTTTTAAGTGTTTTTTGCACTACAAATAAGATATGTGCAGTGTGCATAGGAATTCATTCATTTTTTTTTCAAATTATAATCTGGCCCTCCAACAGTTTGAGGATCTGTGACGTGGCCCTCTGTTTAAAAAAATTTACGACCCCTGGGTTAGACAGTATAATGTTAACAATCTCATTTTATAACTGAATGGTTATAACTTCTATAGAGGTATGTGCTGAGGGCACATGAAATAGATTCCTGTCCCCAGAGAAAGACGGGATATAAAATAAATAAATATCTGTCTTAATTGTGAACGTATAAATATTTTAAAACAAATAACCTTGCACCTCTTTAGAGGGAATTTGGCCCTCTAGATATTTTCCCCTACAACTCCTATTAGACATGGCTACTAGGATTGTGGAAGTCAAGTTCTGAAAATCTAGAAGGCCCATTGAAACCCACCCAAGCAACAAAACTGTTCCAGGTTATTGTTCACTCCAGAGTGGTGTGATCACCTGGAGTCATCTGATTGCCTTATCATCCTGCCAAGTCTTAAGAGCCTAGTGTAAATGTAGGATTGACTATATATGCTCTTGAGCTAAACTCAAAGTTTGTTGTTGTTGTGTGTTTTGAAGTCATTTCCGACCTGCATCAACCCTAAGGGTTTCTTAGCAAGATTTTTTTCCAGAAGAGATTATCTATTGCTTTAGTCCGAGGCTAAGGGCCTTTCCAGACAGACCCAATATCCCAGGATCTGATTCTAGGTTTTCTGGAATCAGATCCTGGGATTATACACACAGCCAGATAATCTGGGATAAACAGAAAACTTGGGATCAGATTCTGGAATATAGGGCCTGTCTGGAAGGGTCCCGAGAGAGTTTGCTTTGCCCAAGATAACACAGTTAGTTTCATGGCTGAGTGGATTTGTACTCTCACCTCGAGTCGTTATCCAATGTTCAGCCACTAAACTCTGCTGGTTCAAAATTAGGAAAGAAAAACATTAGTCTAAAATGGTTGCTAACGATAGATGTGTGCCATGTTTCTATTTTTCTCTAGTTTGCAACGGACATTCTTATTAGTGGATGCCCAAATAGGAATTCAAGAAATTGACAATATTGCTATAGAAATGTTGGAAGAATTTGGGATTCCTTATGCTGTGAGTTGTGATTTTTGTTTAAAAAGACACAAAGTGGGTATGCAATGTATTGAACTTTTGACTTAAATGTATCTAGTGCAAATGAAAAAAAATGCAGGTACAAGTTATGTCTGTAGCGCACAGCACAGTTTTATTTAATTTTAAAATAATTTTAATTTAATGTTTTGAGAATTTCCAAATACAGTACACTAAAAAAGAAATGAGAAGTGCATAGTATAATTAAAAATGAAAAACAGAACAGCCAGAAACCGAAAAAGAAAAGTAACGAGGTCTGGCTTCTCTTAAAGTGGTCTACATAACATATACAAAATCTTACTTCTCCAGCAAAAGAATATTTTATATATCTCTTCTCCTAATACAAATATACTAATTATCAAAACACAAAAAGAAGTTATATCACTTCTTTTTTTCTGCAAAAAATGATAATCAGGGGTTCCCAATACTGTATTTCAAAAACATCTCTAATGATTTTTTTTTGCTAAAATGGCTAGTTTGCCCATTTCAGCTAAATTGTTTAATGTTAATAATCAGTCCTCTTTTTTAATACAATTACATTCTTCCACTTTTGAACATACATCAGCCCTGCTGCAGTGGGCCTATATTATAGTGATCTTCCATATTTCCTTCAGGTATGGAATGTTGTGTTCTGTATTTGAACCCCAAACATTTTGACTTTTTCACATGTTCACCACATATAATAAAATTCCCCTTTGCGCAGTGCACACTTACAACATGTTTGAAATACAACTCCGCTGTTATGTCAGCTCCACTGGCTGCTGATTTGCTACCAGGTTCAATTCAGAGTGCTGGCTTTGGCCAATAAAGCCCTAAACAGTTCTGATCCAACTTACCTGTCCAAATGCACCTCCCTTTATGAGCCAACAAGAGCTTTAAGATCGGCTGGGGAGGCCCTGTTCTCGGTCCCACCCTCTTTGCAAGCGCGATTGGTGGGAACGAGAGACAGGGCCTTCTCAATGGCGGCCCCTCGGATGTGAATAGGATATTACGGAATTAGACTTCAACAGCCTGAATAATGACTATGGATAAGTATGAGATCAAGACTCATCGCTTTATATGGTTTTTAAACAGTTTTATTGTTTATGTGTTTTAATTGTTCATATGTTTTAACAATTTTATAATTTGATAGGGTGTGTTTTATTATGTACATGCAGCATTGAATTTTGCCAGAGTTTGGCCTTGAGTCCCTGGGGGGTGAGAAAGGCAGTAGTAAAATGAAGTAAATAATAAATAAATAAAGTAATATTTTCACCATGTTTTCTGGAATTATTGTATAAAAAATCTCAATATCATAAAACAAAAATTTATTTTAAAATATTCTCTGTGACATTGTTTTTTCAGCTAGTTTTAACAAAAATTGATAAAGCATCAAAACGAGTGATGGCAACAAATGTGCTAAAGATTCAGGACTTTGTAAAGAAAAAAACACAAGTGTGCTTTCCTCAGCTCTTCCCAGTCAGGTAAAGCCTTAGTAAGAACATCTATGGTGTGCAAATGGAATAATGATGTTCATACTCATAAAATATTTATCTTTGTCTCCACAGTTCTTTGTATTATTCTGGAATCCATATACTGAGATGCTTTATAGCACATGTTGCCGGACATCTTCCCTTGTCTTCATAATGATACTTTGTGAGCAGAATAATCAAGGCTCATCTCCAAGTAGAAGCTTCCTCATCAACTAAATGAAATTTATCCAATTTAATTCTCTGTGTATTTTTAAAAGCTCTGTAAATAATTTGGTTACCATAAATGCTATTTAAGTTTTGTCTTAAAACAGCTTCAGCTTCAGTATTACATTACAGGGTGGACACATTTTCCCATCTTTCATTTTAAATGTATACTTGAAAACAGTATATACTTCTTGCTCAGATTTCTAGTAAAAGGCCTCTTAAATAAGGGATTAGACCAGGGGCCCACAAACTTTTTAAACAGAGGGCCAGGTCACAATCCCTCAAACTGTTGGAGGGCCGGATTATAATTTGAAAAAAGGATGATGAATTCCTATGTACACTGTACATATCTTATTTGTAGTGCAAAAACTACTTAAAAACAATACAATAATTAAAATGAAGAACAATTTTAACAAATAGAAACTTATTAGTATTTCATTGGGAAATGTGAGCCTGCTTTTGGCTGATGAGATAGGATTGTTGTTGTTGTTGTTGTTGTGTGTTTTCAAGTCATTTCAGACTTAGGTTGACCCTGAGTGAGGGCCGGGTAAATGACCTTGGAGGGCCATATCCGGCCCCCAGGCCTTAGTTTGAGGACCCCTGGATTAGACTGTGTGAATAGTGGCACTAAGAGGTGGTTTAACAGTGGCCATTCTTGAGCACAGATCTGAGTGAGTATTCATGACTGAGAGCCTTTTCACACAGCCATATAACCCAGAATATCAAGGCGGAAAATTCCACAATATGTGCTTTGAACTGGGTTATCTAAGTCCACACTGCCATCTATTCCAGTTCAAAGCAGGTAATGTGGGATTTTATTCAGCTGTGTGGAAGGAGCCTGAATCAATAATAGTTTTGGCTCAGTACATGTTACACAACTTACACCTTCAGCCTGTGTTCCTATTTATGCCACCCTGCTTCTAGTTGAAGAAGTACAAATTATCTCTCCTAGGCTCATTTTCTAGATACAACGCTAGAATCAAACATAAAGTTGAAAACCAGGGTTTAATCAGAATAAGAAATATAGAATTAAATACATCACATTCTAGCTACCCTGAAGGTGAGTTTTTATATCCAGTAGTATTTTAGATCCATGTGACAGTGCTGTGATCTTACATTTCTATTTGATAAAAAGGGTGAGACTTGATGACCCATGGAGTTCTCATTGCAAGAAAAAAAAGGCACAGAAAGGAGAAAGCTGTTTTCTCAATCTGTCAGGGCAATTAGGAAACACAGAGATTTAGGAGCAAAGAAATTTAAAAGAACATCTGATATGTCCTTCCTTTGTTTTGCCTGCTACAGAATCAGAAAAAACACCAGAAAAGGTTTTCATTACAAATAAGTATTCACATCTAATTTTGTGTTAGTTTCCTGTTATCTGGATTATTCTTGATGAATATGTATAGTGGAATTGTTCTATGATGATGCAATACTGTTTTTCATATCAACAGAACTTTTCTGTACACAAGATTATACGTTGCTGTTCAAATCGCTGTGCTTTAGGAAAAGTCTACACCTTAGAAAGTGTTCTTCAGGAGTTTTTTTTCCTTTCCATTCTGCAAAATGCTAAAATTAAGACTCATTGATTTCCTATTTTTGAAAGGGTTTACTGTTCCATTCTATGGGAGGAGGCCACAAGGGGGCGCTAGACAGAGAAAGACAGACCATTTTACTGGGGAAAGGGAGTTGAAGGAATTATACAATTTACGCCTGAAGGTTTAAGTCAACCTTATATAAGTGAGGGCAGGTTTGGGGGCCAAAATTATGATTTTTACTCTGACTTGTGTGGATAAATTGAGAGTTATTTCATGAAGAAGGGAAAGCGCCTGCAAACCCCCTTTCTCTTGTTAAATAGACTATCCTTTTCTGTCTAGCGCCTCCTTGTGGCCTCCACCTGGATAATGGAAGAGTACCCGCAAAGCTAAAAGAAAGAAAGAAACATATATATATATGGCTGAAGTTATACTTTTAAAATGTACCTGCTCTGACTTACATACACATTCAGCTTAAGAACATACCTCCAGAACTTATCTTGATCGTAACTTGGGCCCTGCCTGTAGTATCTTCAAAATGAAATGAACCTGAGTTAGACAGGCCCCTGAATTCAGACAATGTTAAACAATGTTTAAATATATATACACAATGCATAGAATTAAAATATCCACATTTGACTGATAAAAGAATGGCTATAATAGTATTCCCAGACCTTCATTATATGCAATCTTGTACATGTCACTCAAGGTAAATCATCCACGAAAGGAGTGTTGTGATCCGCAGCAAGTTACAGCTTCATTGCTAGGTTAAGGAAATCATAATAATAATTATTATTATTATTTATTTATACCCCGCCACCATCTCCCCAAAGGGGACTCGAGGCGGCTAACATGAGGCCAAGCCCAGCAATTACAACAAATCTAAATAAAATACATACAGCAAATAATAACATCAAATGAAATATAAAAAGTGAATTAATGCAAAATCAAATACAGAAAATGCAATAAAATAATAAAAATGTGCGCAGCGAGCTGGGCTAAGTTAAAAGGGTAGAATTAAAATATCAAAACCCTGGGTGAGATGGATGAATAGGGTAGTGTACATGATGGAGGGGTTTCAGATGGGAACAGCAATGGGGTGAATATCACTAAAGAATGAGATAAAGTGCATTGATGAGCATATTGTGCTGAGCTGGTCATTGTGTGGGGATTGTATTCATTCCTCAAAGGCATACTGAAACAGTGAGTTTTTTGGCTTTTCCTGAAGGCTGCCACGGTGGTGCTTGCCTAATCTCTTTGGGTAGCTAATTCCAAAGCCGAGGGGCCACCACAGAGAAGGCTCTCTTCCTTGTCCCCACAAGTCACGCTTGCGACGGAGGGGGAAGCGAGAGGAGGGCCTCCTCAGAGGATCGAAGGGGTTGTGCAGGTTCATAGAAGGAAATACGGTCACAAAGGTAGGTGGGTCCCAAGTTACTCATAAGAAACTTGCTTATAGCGACTTCCAAACTTAGTCAAAAGTAGTTCAAGAAGCACTTTCTTGGGGAGATGAACAGGGAGGATGCCTGCCATAGATGCAGGCAAAATGTCAGGAGAGACTGCTTCTGGAACAGCCTGAAAAACTTACAACAACCCAGAGTGAATGTTGCTAATTTCCACTGCAGTGTAAAGATGAAGGAGAACGGAAATGTGTTGTCGAAGGTTTTCATGGCCGGAATCACTGAGTTGCTGTAAGTTTTCCAGGCTGTATATATCTGTGGAATGTCCAGGGTGGGGGAAAGATATACAAACCTCACTTGCCTAGTTTCCAGCAGACCTCACAACCTCTGAGAATGCTGCCATGTGGGCAAAATGTCAGGAGAGAATGCTACTGGAATATGTCCATGCAGCCTGGAAAACTCACAGCAGTCAAAGAATGGGAATATATCTGAAAGCACTTACGTCAGACCTGAGCGCAATGCCAAAGGATACAGTTTGTTGTGTAGGGGCCTGTCCATAGCATCCCTAAATAAACATTGTATTATTATTATTATTGTAGCAGAACCTGGAAAAAATAACTGTTGTTGGAAATGATAACAGAACTGCTGGCCGCTCTTCTTCAGAGGCCAGAGCAAGGAAATACTGTATAAACTAGGCCTACCTCAATACCCGTATATGTATTTATTTAGTTTAAGGATCGCTCTCAGAATCCCTTGATTTTGCAACTCAACTAAACAGATAAGCTATTTGCTTATTCCAAAGCCAAGGGGCCACCATGGTGAAGGCACTCTCCCTTGTCCCCACAAGTCGCGCTTGCGCCTCCCCAGAGGATCGAACGGGTCGTACAGGTTCATAGAAGGAAATATGTATGGAGTCTTAGGTAAATATAAAAGGTTTCCCCTTGACATTAAGCTTATTTAGGTAAAGGTTTTCCCCTGACATTAAGTCCAGTTGTGTCTGACTCTGCAGTGTGGTGCTCATCTCAATTTCTAAGCTGAAGAGCAGGCATTGTCCGTAGACATCTCCTAGGTCATGTGGCAAGCATGACTGCATGAACCACCATTACCTTCCCGCTGGAGCGGTACCTATTGATCTACTCACATTTGCATGTTTTCGAGCTGCTAGGTTGGCAGAAGCTGGGGCTAACAGCAGGAGCTCACCCCACTCCCCTGATTCAAACCGCCGACCATTCGGTCAACAAGTTCAGCAGCTCAGCGGTTTAACCTGCTGCACCACCAAGGCTCCATGGCACCTTACATTTGCTCTTTAATGGGAAAGCAGTACCTTTGATAAGAAAATAAATGTAGGCCAATATTACTAGTCCTTTTCCCATCCTGAGCCATGGCAGTTAAAGTGGTATCCAATGCCCAATAAGTCTATAGTGTAGATGCACTGAAGTATGCCTTCATGAGAGCAGTGAGAGAAAAGTACTAGAAAGGGTCCAGAGGCCTAGTGTTCTAAACAGAGCCTGACACCTCTGGAGAAAGGCAATGTGAGTGATAAGGGCTGCTGTGGCTTCCTTTCCTCGCAGGGCGCATGCTCAGAAGTGCTTCGCGAAAGGACCAATCGCAGCGCGGGCGGAAGTGCTTCCTGATTGGCCGGGACAGTGGGACAACATTTCCATCGCTTCCAGGAATCATGGCGGACGAAGAAGAGGATCCTCCCGTGAGTGAGGAAGACAGGGGCTCAGTTTCGGGCGCGGATAACATTGTTTTTAGACTTCCTATCCTTCCTGGACGCCCTTTGGGAGGCTGAGGGAGACACTGCTGCCTTCAGAGTTTGCTTCATTCATGGCAAGACTGAGGGTACATCTACACTGTAGAATTGATGCAGTTTGGCACCACTTTAACTGTCATGGCTCAATGCAGTGGAGTGCTATGTGTTGTAGTTTGGCATTCTTTGACAGAGAAGGCTAAAGGCCTTGTAAAAATACAACTCCCAGGATTGAGACATCGCAGTAAAAGTGATGCCAAACTGCATTAATTCTACAGTATAGATCAGGCATGGGCAAACTTTAGCCCTCCAGGGGTTTTGGGCTCCAACTCCCATAATTCCTAACAGCCTCGGGCCCTTTTCCTGAGGCTGTTAATAATTGTGGGAGTTGGAGTCCAAAACCCCTGTAGGGACAAAGTTTGCCCATGCCTGGTATAGATACACTCGGAGTATAAAATAGTTGGGTTGTTGTAGGTTTTTTCGTGCTATATGGTCATGTTCTAGGGGCATTCTCTCCTGACATTTCGCCTGCATCTATGGCAGGCATGCCTCTCAACAAAAGATTGCCCCAGGCACTGCCAGGCCATCAAATGCTAATCAAGGTGATCAGTTGAAACATTCACACCTAGCTCCAACAGACAAGAGTTCTTTGTCCCACCCTGGTCATTCCACAGATATATAAACCCATTTTTCCTAGTTCCAACAGACCTCACTACCTCTGAGGGTGCTTGCCATAGATGCAGGCGAAACGTCAGGAGAGAATTACTCTAGAACATGGCCATATAGACCAAAAAAAACTACAACAACCCAGTGATTCCGGCCATGAAAGCCTTCGACAATACATATAAAATAATTGTTAAAGTTATCTTGAAGCCAACAATTAAAATTAAATGATTAAATACAGTATAGTAATGTAGCTGAACTAAACCCCTGAGACCATCCACACTGCAGAATTATAGCAGTTTTCTGCCACTTTCACTGCTGTGTCTCCATTCTCTAGGATTTGTATTATTATTTTTTTGTGGAACTGACAAAGAAAGTTAGATATCTCACAAAACTACAAATCCCAGAATCCCGTAGCATTCAGTCATGGCAGCCAAACTGCTATAACTCTACACTGTGAATGTAGCTCTCTGTTGAACTTGAAGACCTGGAAATGTTCCATTGGAATTAGACTGTGATGCTATAATAATCCTGTGCAGATTTTCCTTGGAGGAAATCTTACCCACTAATTTGAATTTTATGTTGTACTAGGTGTATTCAGAACTTGCCAGTTTTGTCATTACAAATTTTAAATAATAGAATCATAGCGTTGGAAGAGACCTCGTGGGCCATCCAGTCCAATCCACTGCCAAAAAACAGGAAAATCCCATTGAAAGCACCCCTGACAGATGACCATCCAGCCTCTGTTTAAAAGCCTCCAAAGGAGGAGCCTCCACCACACTCCCAAGGCAGAGAGTTCCACTGCTGAACAGCTCTCACAGTTAAGAAGTTCTTCCTGATGTTCAGGTGGAATCTGAAGCCATTGTTCCATTGCGTCCTAGTCTCCAGGGCAGTAGAAAACAAGCTTGCTTCCTCCTCCCTATGACTTCCCCTTGCATATTTATACATGGCCACCATGTCTCATCTGAGCATTCTCCTCTGCAGGCTAAACATGCCCAGCTCTTTAAGCTGCTCCTCATAGGGCTTGTTCTCTAGAACCTTGATCATTTTAATCGCCCTTCTCTGGAGACATTTCTCTTCAATTGCAGTGCCCAGAATTGGACACAGTGTGATTCTAGGTGTGGTCTGACCAAGGCAAGAATACAGGAGTAGCATGAATTCCCTGGATCTAGATCCTATACTCCTATTTATGCAGACCAGAATCTCATAGGCTTTTTAGCTGCCAGATGACATTGTTGGCTCACGTGGTATAGTTATCTTGAAAATATTTGCAAGAATTCTGTTTGATCAAAGCCATATTTAACCCAACATTTTCTTCTCACATTGGCCAACCTGATAGATAAAGAAAGCCTGCAGGCAGGCTTTCCTCAACAGTTGGGACTAAAAGACTTTCCATTACCAGTTGCCATTATTACTAATAGCTATTGGTAGTTCAATTCCTCACCGATTTCTCTATTTCTACTTTGACGCTGTTGTAGTTGGCAGCCATCTCTACATTTTTTCATAGTGAATGCACTTCTTTTTTGTCTAGTGTAAATGTCCTGCCATTCAGCTTTATTATATGAGTTGAGGTTTTACTGTGACAGGTGAAAGATAAAGCTATTTCCTATCTACTTTTCCCACCGTATACATATTTTTACATATTTATGATGTCTCCAACACCGTTAATTTATTTTTTTAAACAACATTGCTTCATATGGGAGTATCTTTAGCCCTTTTATCATTTTAATGACTCCATTCTGCATTTTTTTCTAGCATTACAGTATATCTTTTGAAATACAAGGGGAAGTATACATAATTCCCAGTGCATTCCCACTATAAATGTATACGGTACTGTGATATTGTTTGTTGTAGTTCTTCCTTAATGATTTTTTCTTTCATCCTTGTTTCTGTTTCTCTTTAGTTTGAAGAAGATACTGAAGAGGCTGGAGGAGGTCCAGATGGTGGACAAGGGAAAAGGAAGAGGCTCTTTTCCAAAGAATGTAAGTTAAGTGGTTGAGCATACGTGGGAAGCTACATCTTCCATCTAGTATGTATAGATAGCACTGGGTAAGGCTGCAGTCAAAACTTCTGGTGAAATGTTGCCAGTTCATATAGGCAATAGTACAGTGCAGGGATATAATTTGATGTAATACAGCTTTTTGTATTCTTTACTACCATTCTTGTCTTTGTTACCCACTTCCTTTGCTATTTCTGTCATAACACATCATTTCATACCACTTGACAGTAAAACACATAAACTAATCTGAAAAGTATTAAGATTATAAGAGGTGTTTTATCTGTAATAGTTATGTTCCCATTCAATCGCATGATCCAGTTGATGATCATGTCTCTGTGAAATCACCCGATATGTGAAGCCCAGATTCACTGACAGATAAAACTGTGTAAATTTATGTGTAAACATTCATTGGACAAAAGAAATGTCTGTAGATCTGAGAGATGTTGGTATTGATAATACTCTGATGAATTAGTATTATAGATCCATATTTTTAATTTGGACTTTTCATTGGAACACTGCATTTCTGCAGCAGTTAGTGTTTTGTATTTATGGTTTTCTTGGAAGCATCCGGTTGGCCACTAAAAGTCTAATTCAGCATTCCTTTTATATTTGAGGTTTAATTACAAAATAATTCATTATCGTGCATTATCCTTAATGGTGTACAAACAGTAATCAAGGATTGTGGCTAATAGTTTCCATTTAAGAGCTCTACAAAATCCAGAATATACTTCCTAAGTCAAGACTGTGCATGTGGACATTTCTCAAAATTAATTTAAAAGTTTGTATAGACATGACAATGGGAAAAATACTCCAGAGATAGCTTCCATTCTTCATCCAACTAAAAGTTGTTGTTTTTTTCTTGTTGTTCCACAGTGAGATGTATGATGTATGGATTTGGAGATGACCAGAACCCATACACAGAGTCAGTGGATATTCTTGAAGACCTAGTCATAGAATTCATCACAGAAATGGTATGTCTTTCTGGTACGCTTAGATGGTGAAAAACCTTAATGCAGCACATGTTGCAAGGCATGGACTCTTTGTTGCTGTACAATAGTTTATGTCACTTGGAGAACAGAAAGCAGAATTTGAAGGAAGGAGTTACTGAGACCTATTGACCTTCCTGTTTTGTTCTTTGGAGTGGAAGCAAGGGGGATAAAGGCATGCAAGACTTTTTATCTTGAACACTCTTTAGGGAACTTACATTGTGTGTCAAGGTCTCAGGCGAGAGTTGCAATATGTCTGTATTACATTGTTTTGTTGGCAGTCCTGTGGGTTTAATTAGGCTTAGGAATACTTAATAGAATAATGGGTCACTGTCATGTCTGAAAGGTTTTCAGTATACAGTGATCACATCTAACCACAACACACTACCATCTGTTAGAAATTGTGGGAGTTGAAGTCCAAAACACCCAGAGGCCCGAAGTTTGCCTTTGCCTGCCTAGCAGGTTATAGCTTTCATCAGTTTCATTTACAGTGCCAGTCCATCCTAAATGCTACAGTGCCAGTCCATCCTAAATACAGTGCCAGTCCATCCTAAATGTGTAGATAACAAGGAGTTATTAATCCAATTTTATATACATTTTCTCTGCCTACTATAAATGGAATACCTCTGAGAGCAGACATAAATAAACAAGTCTGCATATTCTTCTGTTACTGGTGTTTTGAGGGTTATCTTTTGAACCTTGGATGAGGTAGCATCGTAACATCATCAGCAAGGTTCCTCTCCAGTGCCAACAGCAAGAGGGCTTCTTTCTCCAGCTGATGGGCAGCAGTGATATGCCTGGGTTTAGTGTTACTGCTCTTTGAAAGAGGGAGGAGCAGCCTTATGCTAGCAATGGAGACTGCTACTTCTTCCCTCCATAGATATGAACAGCCAGACCAAGTCAGGTGATCAATGGCTTTGGAGATAGATGGATCATGTATTGTTAGACAGGAGCAATAACTTCTGTCACCATAAATAAATGCATTGACAGAGACTTAATCTCTAACAGCATGATGTGCTATCTCTGCCTAAAACAGCAGGATGTCTCAAGGCTTATTGGAAAACTAACAGTTATAAAACCAGCCTTCAAATACAAAAGTAATTATATTAGTTATGATTCTAGAAAAATGGACTTGAAGTTCCATGTTGAGATATAAAAAAATGAAATTATATCCATAATGAGAAATGACCCATAGCAGAAGTGATTTATCTGAAAATTGCAATGGTTTGACAACAATTATTTTTCCTCTAATTTGAAGTGTTTTTTCTTTCTTGATAGACCCATAAGGCAATGTCTATTGGACGGCAGGGTCGAGTACAAGTTGAAGATATCGTATTCTTGATCCGTAAAGACCCACGGAAATTTGCCCGTGTGAAAGATTTGCTAACAATGAATGAAGAACTAAAACGGGCCAGAAAGGCATTTGACGAAGCAAACTATGGATCTTAAAGCTTTATGCAGAATGGTGTTTGCAAGAAGACAAACCTTAATTGCCTAACTTATCTTTTTCTTTGAAGTCAGCATGCATATTCATTTTGGAGTATGATTTCTTGGTGTGGGCTTCAAAACAAGGTGTCCTCAGATTTTTCCTGCGATCATACTATTTATTACAGTTGACTTTTTAAAACAAATGTCTGGTTGTTTTTTTTATTTTGTAGCACAAGTAATCAGAACATCAAAAGCAAGAAAAAATTTTTTTTACTTCATTTGTTCAAACAGTTAATAGAATATTTTATTCTTCAGAACCTAATTTTTTATGTAACGGACATCACGAATAAAGTGTTATAAACCGATTGCTTTAAAAATGTCATCAATATCATCTTCATTCCCAATGATTTCTTTCTGTATGGGGGCATCACTTGTTTCTACTATAGAGGCAGAATTATCCACCTGAGCTTGTTCTTCACCAATTACATTAGAACTATTGTTAGTAGGAGTCCAAAACTGAGATGAAAGGAATATTCCACCCTTGTTAAAGTCAGGAGTGTCTGATAACACAGGTATTGTAGAAGATGGTGTTCTTTTTGAAACATGTTTAGACTTTGAGCGTTTGCTTTTCATTCGTAGATGGGAATGTGTTCTTAGTATTTGATTGGGTTTCCTTCTGCAGCTTGAGAGTGTGAGATATTTACAGAGGGTAGCTTTAACACAGCCAAGTTTTCTCTGCAGTCTGTAAGGAGAAAAGAGGATCTTTAGTAATCAAAGGCAAATAGAAAGGATAGCCATTATTGCAGCAGTTTTTCAGAACTGAAGTTAGTTGTTAGCTCTTCTGCACTAGACAGAGTTCGATGGGAGCCTGCAAGAGCTTTCTCCATTATGTAAACTAGATATGGGTTAGCATTACAGTCAGCCCTCCGCAAAAGAAATGGGAAAGTAAAGGGACTTGGAATATAAAAATTAGCAAAAGAGATCCAGACACACCAGTGAAAAATACCAGATGATGATAGTAATAGTAATACACACCTGCAGCCCTGTGCTTCTACATGCTGCAGCCGCCTAGTTTTCAAGCACTTCATTCCCAAGAAGAAAGCTTCTGGTCCAAGTTTATTGTTTTTGCACCAGATAATTGTTGTTCTCAGTGTGTCTGACAGCTCTTCGAAGGAGGCCGCTTCTTGAAATTTGGACACAAAAGATTTAAGATGTTGGAACCTCAGTGATTTGTGAGATGTAGATTTGCTTTTCTGTTTTGATCCAGGTGGTTTGACTCTGATTTTGATATTCTAAAATTAAATTAAAAGTAAGGAAATTAATACTGTGAAAAGGCACTAAAAGAAAAAAAAATGAGCAAATAAATGGTTTATATTTTTTCAACATAATGGCATCCTTGGCTAGAATGATCTTGATTAAAAGCAAAGAAATCAAATACCAGTAGGTCAATGTCCGTGGTTTTCACTACTGGCTTAAAACTGCTCAGAAGTCCAAAACTCAGAAAGCAAGAGATTCCTTAAATATATACAGAAGCAGAATTACCAATAGAATAATGCTTTAAACTGCAAGTACAATGTTTCTGGCACAGGATCAAAAAGGAAAGCAGAGGACTGCTTTTTCTATATATATTTTCTGACCTATATTCTGTTAATATCACTTTCAAAATTAACTCCAAAAAATGATTACACCATTTACAGGGTCATTATAGTTACAGGCCCAATATATGGGCATGGATGCAAGACCATCCCAAAATATCTGGCAGAACACCTGAGAAGCCCTTAAGGCGTAAGTGCCATCCTTCGAAGTGATTTGTTCTTTGTTAATGGCCTAGCACTTCATTGTATCCTAAAGACCCCAGCTGGTTTCATACGGAGTTCAGGATTGCTCCCTTATTGTTTAGAAATCAAATAAATACTAAAACACCAGTCAAGAAATCTGAACAATTATACCCATGTACAAAATTTTGGCCTGCAGGGATCATCCCCCCTGCATGGAAATGAGAAATACTCATCTCCATTTCTAAGCCAAAGAGCTGGCGTTGTCCGTAGACGCCTCCAAGGTCATGTGGCTGGCATGACTTCATGGAGAGCCATTACCTTCCCACCAAAGTGGTACCTATTAATGGACTCACATTTGCATGTTTCAAACTTTTAGGTTGGAAGTAGCTGGGGCTAACAGCAGGAGCTCACCCCGCTCCCCAGATTCGAACCATCAATCTTTCAGTCAGCAAGCTCAGCAAGCCACTGGGGACACACACTTAATCACCAACTAAAAACAGCAAACTGAATGCCATTTCAATGTAAATATAACTTCCACTCTGTTTTTTTGGGACCTTAAATGTAAAAAGTAGTATAGAAAAGTTAATCTCCACCAACACACAGAAACGAAATGGAACAAACCTTCTGTGGAGCAGGATTAGGATACTTGCATAATGTCTTGGCATCGAACTTCATCTCCTTTCCCAGATCTAGAACAATAGGCATAGTGATTATTTGTTGATGGGAGAAATTATTATTATTATTATTATTATTATTGTTGTTTACTTTATTTATATCCTGCCTTTCTCCATGTAGGGACTCAAGATGACTAACAATCCCACACTTGGATTATATATTTAAAAGCACAATACAAAAATTTTAAAAACAAATAATAGTATGGATTAACATATAATAAATACACTTAAAATAGCCTTTAAAAGTTGGCTTGGCTATATTCCTATGTATTTAACCTGAAATAAAATGATTTTAATATCAATAGCATGCTTTTAATATTTCAAAATTATTCTTAATCAAAGAAAATGTTTAGGAAATATGGTTGTGTCAGTTGGTACCGAAGTATTCCAGCAAAATACGGCTAGCAGTTATTTCTAAAGCAACAACACTCTTGAAAAGAAACATATAGCACGATGAGAACCATGTATCCATTTCTCAGACTTTTCAGGGTAGCAACTAAACACACTGTTAAGGAGAAGGAGAGGTTTACATGCATACCAAATGGTCAGAAATCATTCACGCTGGATGAAAAAGAAAACAAAAAGAGTGCTATGATCAGCTGTCTTGAAGCTAACTCCAGTAGTGTCTAACACTGTCTAAAAGCTACTCCTCAGGCTGAGGATCCTACTAATTTTAAGAACCTGTGCCTGAGTCTTATTTTCCTTTTCCATCCCCCCTCACCCAAATTAAAAGGCCAGTGTCTGTTACCTCGGTTAGGTCTCTTGATCAGAACTGGTTTCCCGATATCAACAGCATTTTGCGAACTCCTCATTTTCCTGTTGACTGTTGTAGGACTGGCTGCTGTCGCAAGCTGAGACTGAGATGTAGCCTTGCTTGCAGCAAATAGTTTATTCATCCATCCGCTTCCGGCCTTTTTCATCACACATGCTCTAGGCATTTTCTTCTTAATCTCTGAATAAGAGGATCCCAGAAATTCATTTATTTCAGGAGGAAAAGCAAATCCTTTAATATAAGGACTTGGTTGTATTTCCGAAACTTCTCGATGTAATTCAAACAGGATCTTATATAAAGAACAGAGGCTTTTTAATACACCTCTATAAAGAAGCCTAAGACAAAGAGAAAAGAGATGAAACACTTAGGCAACGGGTACATTTCTTAAATCGGGCTGACTCTTCCACTAAAATTTTCCAGTGATTTCTTTTTTTGCTACCCCAAGTTCGACCTCAACAATATGATTTTACTGGCTACCTGCAGGAAATTGGCTGACCAAAGGGTTAACAGTTTGAAGCTGCAAGTCGGGGTGAGCCCCCAGCTGTCAGCAGTAGCTTCTGTCTACCTAGCAGTTCGAAAACAATGTACTGTTGAAGGCTTTCATGGCCGGAATCTCTGGGTTGCTGTAGGTTTTTTCAGGCTATATGGCCATGTACTAGAAGCATTCTCTCCTGACATTTCGCCTGCATCTATGGCAAGCATCCTCAGAGGTAGGAGGTCTGTTGGAACTAGGAAAATGGTTTTATATATCTGTGGAATGGCCAGGGTGGGACAAAGAACTCACTATTAGGGCTAGGTGTGAATGTTTCAACTGACCACCTTGATTAGCATTTGATGGCCTGACAGTGCCTGGGGCAATCTTTTGTTGAGAGGTGATTAGATGTAACTGATTGTTTCCCCTCTGTTGTTTTGCTATTGTAATTTTAGAGGTTTTTTTAAATACTGGTAGCCAGATTTTGTTCATTTTCATGGTTTCCTCAGTTCGAAAGCAGTTTGAAAGCGAGTAGATTAATAAGTACTGTCTCGGTGGGGCGGTAAAAGGGTGCCCCAAGCAGACATGCCAATAATGATCAGAGAAGTCAATGGATAATAGGCTCTTAGGCATGGAAAAACGGAACAAGAGCACCTCCCCATGGCCAGAGTTGAACATTGCCTCCAGACGCTGTAGATGGAAAGAGCAAGGCCTTTATCTCTGCCTGTGTTTATTTTATGTCATTGTTCACTGTATAAAAAAGCATTCAATATTTGAATTGAATGGAAACTGTAATTTGCTCTGAGTTCCTCCAGGGAGATAAAGCGGAATATCGGAATAAAAATAAAGTTTATTATTATTATTTCTTCTACAATAATATCTGGTATCGGAAACAAACAAAAAAAATCTTCTAAAGACAAAAAACAGTACTCAAACATTAATTTCTTATTAATGGCATAAACACAAGAATATTTCAAAGTTTGTAAATCTCAGCCATTGTATCCACCCAGGCAGAAGAACCAGAAATTTCTTTATGTGTATAGCCAATGTGCGATCCTTTACCATGAAGGAGCTTACTTTACGTTGCAAAAATATAATAATTTACCATGTTTTAAACTGTTACATAAACACACATATCTCTTACCACTTGAAACGTGGATACAAATAAATTTACTCAAAATAATGAGATTTTGTTAGGGTTGCTGGCTGACAGAACAGCAATCAAACATTTCCATGTTTCTGTAACAGCATCAAACATCAAGGCCTCTGCACACTCATTTCTTCACCAGTCTTTCTGCCTGTCTCTCTTCTACGCATTCCCTTCAAAGAAATGGGCATCTTGGCCCCTCTCACTCATCAAAGCATTGGGCAATTCTTCTATCTCCATACATATGAGTCATCAAGGCTACAATTGGATGTAACACACCTTACTCAACACCCTCTCCCAATGTTGAACTATTTTACTCCTCTAACTTTTACTTTTCCCCCACTCCCAATTCCCTCTATT